AGTGGGAGTCCATGCCACAGGCTCCAACTCTGATTTGCTGTAAACCCAGGTGGCACTTTCTTTGGGCCAGAGACGAGATGTTCCTTCAGCCCATCCTGGGACTAGCCTGATCCTGAGCTTGCTGGAAACTTGCCCATCTCTATTTCCAGCTTCTGGATCAACAAACATGTGAAATCACAAGAGGGTGAACAAGCATGAGCTCATGGTGCTCCGTGCACATGCTTGGAGTCACGCAACCACGGGGTCTTGTCAGCAGAGAATAGGGTCTCACACCCCCGTCCAGGCACTGGTTCCTACTTAGTATTCACCATGGGCTAGGAGAAGCCCATGGCTTACTCTTGCTGCCTGTGTTTGGTGGTCTCGGGCCACTTCCCCACCCAGGATGGCCAATGCCATTGTTGGACAAAGGAGGAAACGAGGGCCAAGCTGGTTGGTGATCAGTTGCCGTTCATTCCATTGTTCCCACGCACCTGTTCCAGCCTCACTGAGCCCCTCATTCCAGTCTCACACTGCCCCTCATTCCCTTCTCCTTCTGTCTCTCCCGCTCATCTCTCAGCGCTCCCTCTCGAAGCCTGGTCTCTCTAGTTTCTCACCGACTTTCAACCTTGGTGGTAGCACATCAGTGTATCAAAGCCCTTCCTGATTTTGGATCAGGCTCCAGGGCAAAATACCACTTAGGGGCTTTTCTCTTTTCCTTAGTCCAATAACTTAATTAACATCTTAATATCTTCATTCAACTTCTTAATATTAGTTATTTTGTATGGACATAGTAAGAGATACATTAAGTTTGTAAGGTGGCTCTCCTGAGGACATCTTGCTATCGATCTCAGACTACAGTGCTCAGGCCAGATTAATCTTTCCTAACCCTAGCAGGGTCCTAATCCAGCTGTTACTTTTTGGATCATGACAGAATTTGTCCATGACTATACTCTTAACTTATAGTTCAGTATTATGGCGTTTTGGCCTGGCCCATTTTGATGTCAAAGTAGCTCACAGCTTTCCCTGGGTCCATCCATTCTCTGTTTGGAACGCTACTTTTGGGGTGCTTGGAAGTAAGAGCAACTGAGACTTAAGTCGAGAGAACGGATGTCCAGGAGTGAATATCATTTGGAGTCAATTAACTACCAAGTTACAAAAGCATAGCATTAACTGTTTTCCTGTATCTATGCAAAAAGGACATTGCTCTGAATTAACTATGCAAAGGACTTAAGGAGAAGAAAAAAAGCAATATTTACAAGTTAACAGAGTCTGATTAGGAGATAAAGGTGATTGGGGAAGCAGAGCACAAAGAAAGAGTTTACAAATAAACACAGAGGAATGGGAGCACTGTGATGGGAGTAACCCAATAAACCTAAGCTTCCTGTGGCAAGGCAGAAAGGACAAACCAATGTTATCCTACACCAACACTGCCCTGACAACCAGTAACTTGGGCATCACAGTCACTAACCCAGTGCAGCAACAAAGTAGCACTATAGTTCTGTTTGATGAACACAGTACCTCTCAGAAAAATGCGTAAAGTGGGGGTGACTCTGATCTACTGGGCTCAGTTACTACAGGGCCACAGGCTACAGAACGAAAAGTTTTTGTGTTTGTGCCACATGAACTATACTTGCTACAAAGTCCCTTCCATGCTTTTGCTTGAGATTGCTTCCAGCAATCGGGACCACGTGGTACCATATAGAACCTGGGCCTTTTACAGGCGAAGCATGTATTCAGCTGATTGAACCATCTCACTAGCCCCCACAAAAATGTGGGTTTTTTTTAGGGGGGGGTTTGAGGAGGCTGGGCTATATCCACTACTGCATATGGACTGTTTCTGGCTTCACTTGAACCCAAGATTCCTGCAAGCAAATTATGCACTGTATTATCACCTTAGCTCTCACAAAAATGTTTTAATCTGGGCTGTGGAGATGACTCAGCCTTGGATCCCAGGTCTGGCATGAATAGGGCCCTGGTTTGAGCCCCAGCAACAAGGGCCTCCTGAGCTCCACCTGGTGTAGCCCTGGTTGCCTCCAGCACTATTGGGGAGATGAGGGGAAAAAGCAATAATACAAGGTTTCATTTTGTCTTTTTTAATCAGAAGGAATGCATACTAATTAATACACATATACATACATATATACATCTACACACACACACACACATATATAAAATGAACTCAGTCTGGATTCCATATGAAAAAAATTGGGGGGGGCAGATGAGGGTGACCTCCCAAGCCATGCTCAAGGGGTCTGGTGGGACACTCACAGTGATGCTTACCTGTTTGTGTGGACTAGACAGTTCAACACTCAGACCCAGCTACTCTGCAGACAGCACTAGACACCTCCAGAGGCACGGCTGGTGGTGCTGGAAGGTTTGTGTAGTCAGAGATCAAATTCCCAAGCTTGTGCATGCCAAGCTATGTTCGTGTTCAAGTCCTCTGAGTTATCTTCTGGCCCCTACATTTGTCTTTATACCAACATGACTTTTTTTTTTTTTTGAGCTGCTTGTGTTACATCCAGTGATGCTTAAGGTTACTCTGGCTCTGCGCTCAGGAATCACTCTGGAGGTGCTCGGGGGTCCATATTGAATGCTGGGGATGAATTCAGGCGGGCCATGTTCAAGGAAAACACTCAACCTGCTGTACTATGGCTCTGCCACCAACACCAAAATAATTTTTGAAAAAGTTTTCTTAGGTGTAGAAAAAAAATTAAACATTGTATTATGCACACTTTGAAACGGATACAAAATAAACAATCCTTTAAAAATGTTTCTGAGGAAGATGCTCACAAAGGCAACAGAACCCGGGGAGTCCAGGCATGTCTTAAAACAGTCTGAAGTATACAGTTCATGGGCACACTCCCCAGGTACCCAGATTCCAGCATAAATATACCTGACACCAGATGGGTCCCTGCACTTCCTCCACCCCTACCCAGGCCCAAATCCAACCACAAAGTCTGTCCCAGTGCTAACTAAGCAGGAGAGTCCTCATCTGCCTGGCCCCACTCCATCCCCACCCCACCCCATCCCAACAGGGCACTTGACTGGGTCTGCAGAAGGCTCAGCTGCTGGCCCAGCCCTCTAGCCCAGGGCCCACACCCTCAATCCTCCCCAAGACTTGCAGGGGTTGGGGCGTGACCCTTTTTAGAAAGCTCTGATTTAGAGGCAACAGTTAGTTCCTTTCTCAGTCTCTGGGGCTTGGAGTTCAGAAGGAAGCTGAGAATCTTGCTGAACCCTGAATCACCCTTGCTGGCACTTGAGTCTGGAAAATTGGAGGATGGGACCCTTTAACCCTGAGTTCAGCAGGGTGAAGTGGGAAGACTGGCGGGTGAACAAGGGGATCGGGTCCCCTTATCCTTGAACACTGAGCATCTTCAGCCACTCTGATGCCCTCCTCATCCTCAACCCTGTCAGTTTCTTCATCAACCACCAGCGTGGTAGTGCCCCCATCCCCCACCCCCGGCACTGTGGAAAGGGCCCTTTCACCTGAGGATCTGGAGCAGATGGCTACAGAATTCAAATGTCGCTGCTACCAAGGGTGGAGTAGCACAGGTTGTGAGCAGCAGGGCACATGCCACAAGTCACACACACACACACACACACACACACACTCATTGAGTGCCTAATGCACTCAGCTTGTCCAGAGTCAACAGTATGCTCAGGGTCAGGGAAATGGCTCAAAGGGCTACAGTACATGATCAGGAGGCCAAAGGTCTCAGTTTCATACCTGATCCAGGACCTGGAGCCACCTTGCTCTGAGCACAGAGCTGATAGTAGTCCCTGGGTACTGCTGGGTATGGTCCAAAAGCAAAGAGTTCTCTCTGCCATGGTCATTCCTACACATGCACATTTGTCTGAAGGTGTTGCACAAGAGACTTAGAGGCTCAGGCAGGTGCTGTTCTCTCTCCCCAAGCACCCAGCAGCAGGATCATGCACATCTTCAGGTGACTCTGACCCTGTCTTGATTACTGTCTTCACAGGGGCCTCCCCAGCATTGCTGGGCCACAAGATGTGGGGGGCAGGTCAGGTGCTGGGGATGAAACTCAGGGCATCATGAATGGAAGGCATATTCCCAGCCCAAGAGCTATCTCCCTCTTGGAACTGCAGCAGTTACAAGAACTCACTCACGTTCAGTGGTGCCAACCCATCATCAAATTCTATACTGAGCATCTTAACCAACCTATTTCATTCACTCCTACCACCAACACTCTGAGGCAACTAGGACACAGGAAGGTGTCAGAAAAGGGAGACATGAGAGGGGCTGGAATGATAAGTGGGTAGGCCATGAGGCCAGCCAGGATCTCATATGGTCCCTTGAACCTGCCTGGAATAATCCTTGAGCACAGAGTCCAAGGTAAACCCTGAGCATGGGGTTGGTGTGGCCCAGTAATGAAAAACAAAGAAGAGAATTAAAAAGAAAGCGCAAAAAGAAAGAAGAGCTCAGGAGCTCCTAAGGTGTGATGGTCAGGCCAACAGCCCAGGACTTAAGCACTAATGTAACTACTATTTATGTAAGCACATAAACTACTGCTACTAAGTTTCAACAACGTGTCTGTCCTAAAGTGTCGTCTCTGGGACTCGGGGCCAGGAAAGGCTGGCTTCCCTCAGATCCAATGCCTGTTCCGAAGTGGCTGCTTCCTAGCTCCTAGGAGGCTCCATCTAACGGTGGCGGGGGACCGGGCAGAGGACAAGGCTGGGAACCTGGACAAAAACGAAGCTCAGTCCGAGCTGGGTGTTGTGTCGTCACCGGTTGGGCCTCCCGGGGGGGAAATGAAGGAGGACCCAAAAGGAGACTCAAGAATCCTGCCAGAGATCCGGCCTGGCTGGCACCTGGCGACGAGGAGCCAGAGGCCACGGGACGTGGCGCCTAAACTTGGGAGGGCAGAGGCCGAGTCTCGGGGTCACCGAGCGCCGCGGGCCGCCAGGGCGGGGCCTGTTGGCCGGGTCTGACTCGGGCACGCAGAGGGCGCCGCGGGCCTCAACGGCTGCAGTGCGTCCGCCGCGTCGCTAGGGGTCAGCGCGGGCGGAGGCGTCTGCGCTCGAGACGCAGCTCGATGGCCATCCGTGCCGAGTGAGGACGCGGAGCATCTCGGAGCGCAGCTTGGAACATGTCAGTACCACCCCCTCCCCACGCGCGGCGTGTTCGTCTTTTCCGCGACTCTTGTCCGCTTCGCGTGGTCCTTAGGCAGCTGTGCCGCCCCGCGCGCCCTGCCTGCGTCTGTCGTTTCCTCCCCGAGCATGCCGTGCCGCACTACCCAGGGTCCAGCCCCCTAACTTCCCATCCCCCCTCGCTCCGCGGTTTGGGACTGGCAGGAGGGCACGGGAAACTGAGGGACTGGAAGAGACTGGCCCCCCTCGGAGCACTCAGGAGCCCCGCCCCGTGTGGGTGGGGTCGATGCGAAAGAGGTTGAACCGGCGGGAAGACTTGGGTCTTCAGACTTCCCCGCTGCGGGGCAGGGCTGCGATTGACTGCCAGGGAGGTGACCTATGCAGGTGAGGGGCTTAGGGAGGGCCGTCTCGAGTGGGAGGGGGTCTGCGGGAGCGACCATCTGGAACCAACTTGTGTGGAAGTGACCTGAAGCTCAGGGGACCTGCCTGGGGAAGCGGCAGGGGGAGCCAGGACACCCCATGGGGAGCAGGTGAGTCGAAAGGTGGGCCCTGGGGCCCTCTTCTCTAGAGATGCCCCAACATAGGATGTCTCAACAGGGCCTGGGGTAAGATAGACTAACGTCAAGGTGTTGGAAGTCAGGTCTGGACCCCCAGCCCTGTGGCAGTTGGACACCCCTGTAGAAGTAGGAAGGAAGTCTTGGGGCTTATCTAGGGTGGTTAAGAAACTGCCCCATGCAGAACTAGGTGATCCCAGGCCCCTCTGGAAGGATGGCTGGGTCCTCCATGCCCAGTGAAATGCTCTGGGCTGGGCATCATTGGGAAGGGAAGCGCTTCGGAGAGCAGTCTAGGGAGAGCAAGATGAAGCCTTATGGCTGGATGAGTAATATTGTTAGTGTGAAAGCGGGTTTTCCTGGGCTGGTGGTTCTTGAGAATTGTATGAAATGTTTGCATACAAAACTTGAAAATTGAAAATTAGTTTATTGTACAGAAAGGATGTCCAGGTTCCTCCCAACTTGTCCAGGCTCTTTATTTGTGAACAATGACCAGGTCCTGTCCCCAGGTTCTGTGAATGACTTCCCTGTCTGTCCCACGTTGTCTACTCACCTCCTGTGAAGGATATCACTCGTCTTGTCTCTGCGCTGCTCTCTTGCCATGTGCGCCTTCCCAGTCTTGGGCCACAGTGACCTATGCTCTGGGTCACTGGGGCCTCCCAGCTGTACCATAGCAGTTCCTGTTGTCTAGTCTCAGGTTTTCTACTTTCCAATCACAGCCATATGCTTGTGGGTGACAGTCCCAGACTCAGCACTCTATGCCCTCTTGGGCATCCAAACCCTGTCTGTGTTCAGCCTGTTTGGCCCCGAGATGCCCACATGTATTTAGGCCCTGTCCAGTCTAACACTGCCCTACCTGACCTGGGGTCCCTTTAAGAGAGTTAGGTCCAGAGAATGTATATTCTGTAATGGAGAAGGGATGAGTGATATGAGACGCCTCCTTTTATCTGTAGCCAAATCCCACCCCCACCCCCACCCCCAGCCATCCCATTTTACCTTCCGATTGGCTACCTGTTCTAGGGGTGGAGATTTAAAGTGACCTGACTCTCTACACCTCAACTCTTGCTTTATCAATATGCGTAGACGGAGGCCTAATGGATTGGATACAGGGGTAGGATAACATGACTGTGTGTTCATAAAATCTGCATCCTGGGACAGGAGGAGAAGCAGGGGCAGAATCGGGAGCTCCTAGTGATCCCATACCCACTGGAGGTTGCCTTGCATGGGCTTAAGTGGAGTGTCCAGGTATCTTCTTTGCTTGTTCTGCTGATGCTGGCCAGCTGCAGTGGTGTGGGGAAGGACATTGCTGAACCGAGAGAAGGCCGGGGCCCAGGCTCTCAGGCTCCACCCGAGCCTTCAGCAGCAAAGCATTGCCTGAGACACTGTCCCGTGCTGGGCAAGGCACCCCTGGCTCTCCATTAGCGCCAGCTTCCCCAGAGGCAGGGAGTTGCTCATTTCTGGTCCCCTCTTTGTGCCATCAGGTGAGTATGGGCAGGTGCCTCCACTCCTGTTTCAGCATGCATGGCAGTCCTTGCACTCTTGATTCTTCCTTCCCCGACTCTGTCCTCCCTCCTCACACAGCCCAGCATGGCTGTTGTCCATCAGAAGAGCTCTGCTGTGGGCTGACGAGATGCCACTGCCTGGAAACCATGGCCTTAACCTGCAGCCTGGCACCGAGGCACCTGCAGCCCGGCAGATGACCTTGGCTCCCAGCCTGACTCAACTGAGCCTGGATCCTGAGCGCCTGCCAGAGCTGACCCTGAGCCCCAGACTAGCTGAGCTGACCCCATGTTCTGCATGCCAGCCAGAGATGAGCCTCAGTCCTGGCTTGAGTGAGCTGGCCCTGGATCCTGCACGGCAGCCAGAGGAGCTCCCCATCCCCAGTGTGGCTGAGCTGACCCTGGAGCCTGTGCACTGCCGACCAGAGCTCCTGGATGCCTGTGCCGACCTCATCAATGAGCAGTGGCCCCGCAGCCGCGCCTCCCGCCTGCACTCCTTGGGCCAGTCCTCGGATGCCTTCCCCCTCTGCCTCATGCTGCTGGGTCCTTGCCCCACACCCAAGGCAGCTCCCATTGTGGTGGGCCATGCCCGCCTGTCCCGGGTGCTGAACCGGCCTGAGAGTCTCCTGGTGGAGACAGTGGTGGTGGCCCGGGCCTTGAGGGGCCGTGGCTTTGGCCGCCGCCTGATGGAAGGCCTGGAGGACTTCGCTCAGGCCCGGGGCTTCCACCGGCTCCACCTCACCACCCAGGACCAGCTGCACTTCTACACCCACCTGGGCTACAGGCCAGGTGAGCCCGTGCAGGGTCTGGTGTTTGCCAGCCGCCGACTGCCCACCGCCCTGCTCAGTGGCTTCTCCAAGGCCCCCTGCCTGACTGTCCATGCTGCCCTGGAAGCCCCCAGGGAGCCGCCATCATTGCTGCCTCCCCCTGCACCACCCCTGCCTGAGCCTGTGACTACCTGTCCCCCACCTCCAACAAGGCCACTGCCACAAAGCCTGCTGGAAACACAGTATCACAACCTGAGAGGATGCCCCGTGTTCTGGATGGAGAAGGATATATGAGGCCCCCAGGGCAAGACCCGATGAACTGGCCAAGACTGTCAGCGTGAGCACTCCAGCTGTACTTTAGCCCATAGTTCCTGGTTCAGCTTGAGCCCAGGTCTGTTTTCTGGGCACTAAGTGGGCTAGGTATGGTTCCGTGGCTCTGAGCTCTGAGCGGCTGAATAAAGGCTTCTTTTGGGGGGTGGCTGTGGTCATTTATTTGTTGAGCCCCTCTGGCACTTCCCCTTCTTGCCTTTGTTCTCTCCCCGCAGAAGGCCCGCAGGTTCAAAGGCCCCTGCACGTGCCCTTCCTCTTCTGCCAGGCGAAGAGGCAGCATGTCTGTTTCCCCGGCACAGAAACTCATCCCTGTTTCTGAGCACTGGCTGTGGCCAGACCTTGGACTGGGCACAGGCATGGAGAAGCCAGATAAAGGCCTCGATCCTAGGATTTGGACAGGAATGCAGTGGCTGCATCCATGCTGGGATACTTGGTGCCCAAGTACCCATTCCCTAGAGATCCAAGAGTCCTTTCAGGGAAGGTATCATCACCGCAGGGACCTGAGTGCTGAATAGGAATTAAGCCAGGCTAGGCGGGGACCAAGAGCAGTTGGGGGGTATAATGCCTGTAAGATGGGGGATCTGGGTGGAGGAAGCCCCAGTCCCAATCCGAGCAGGCTTGGAGATCTACACCCTGGGTCCCGCACACCTGGGTTCCTCTGCTGGTTCCTTCATGCATGAGGCTCGTCTGAACGTGTGGAGAGTGGTCTTAAGTATGGCTGTGGCAGGAACCGGAGGTCTTCAGCTGCCAGGGCTCTGCTCGGGGTGGGGAGGGAAACTCAACCCACCCTTCTCCAAGGGGCCCTGGTGAGGACAGCCAGGCGCGGAGGCAGGTGTGCGGGACCTGGGGTGTAGAATTCCAAACCTGCTCGGATTGGAACTGGGGCCTCCTCCACCCAGATCCCCCATCTTCCAGGCGTTATACCCACCAACTGCCCCCGGCACTATGTAATCCCATCAACAGCCAAGATCCAGAGACTATAAAACCCTGCTCCCGAAGCGGCCGCATTTGCGGCTGCACAACATCTTATTTCTAGGTCTTACTCTGGCGAACCTGGTGGTAGGCTACCAAAAGTATCCTGCCCACACGGCAGAGTCTGGCATACTCCCCGTGACGTATTCAGTATGCCAAAAACCAGTAACAATGATGGGTCTCATTCTCCTGACCCTGAAAGAACCTCGAATGTGGCACTTTTTAAAATCTCAGGGCTAGGATGATGGAGACGTTACTGGGGCCTGCTCGAGGCCATCGATGACCAACAGGATGACTGATACAGGCAGGGACCATGTGCTCCTGGGGCTGGTGAAGATGGGCAGGGGAAGGAAGGGCACTTGTGAGGGCTGTGGATTGTCACAGGGCACAGTGCTGTCAGCACAACGGCAGACACGGAGGGAAGCGTCGACCCTCTTGCAGTGCCTTTCCCGCTCCCCAGCAGGTGGGGAGGCATGGGGGTCGTTTCCCCGGCTTTCCCTGCAGTAGGCCATGACTCTGGCCTCTAAGTGCACTCCCTCTCTCCTGCAGGTCTCCGGCCCTGTGGCATGACCATGCAGCTAGGCCTGGTCCTAGGGCTGGGCCTGTGCCTAGGGTATGGTCTGTCGCTGCTGCAGGTTCTTGAACGACCCTTCATAGTGCTGTGGAACGTTCCCTCAGCACCTTGTAACACCCAGTATGGGGTGCAACTGCCGCTAGATTCTCTGGGCATCATAGCCAACCATAAACAGAAATTCCATGGTCAGAACATCACCATCTTCTACAAGAACCACTTCGGCCTCTATCCCTACATAGGACCCGAGGGCAAAGTTCACCATGGGGGCATTCCCCAAGCTGTGGCCCTGGACCACCACCTTTCCAAAGCCAGTTCCCAGATCCAACACAGGCTGAAACCTGGTTTTTTTGGCCTGGCAGTGCTGGACTGGGAGCAGTGGTATCCACTCTGGGATGGAAACTGGGGCCACCGTCAAGTTTATCAAGAGGCCTCATTGGCATGGATACACAAGTTATACCCCCAGCTAGACTCCAAGGAGCTGATGCTTAAGGCCAAGACTAGCTTTGAGAAGGCAGCCCAGTCACTGATGGAGATCACCCTGTGGCTGGGCAAGGCACTGAAGCCCCAGGGACACTGGGGCTTCTATGGCTTCCCAGCCTGCGGCAATGCTTGGAACAAGGAGGATTTCGGTTACTCAGGCGAGTGCCACCCGCAAACCATCGACCGCAACAGCCAGCTTCAGTGGCTCTGGACTGCCTCCACGGCTCTCTTCCCCAGCATCTACCTCCCAGCCGGTCTGCCGCCTACCCACTACCAGGCATTTGTTCGACACCGTCTGGAGGAGGCCTTTCGGGTGGCCTTTATTGGACACACACACCCGCTGCCTGTTTTTGCCTATTCCCGCCTCACACACCGAGACTCTGAAAAGTTCCTCTCCCGGGTGAGTGAAGGGTGAGGTCTAGGGGTGTCTGCCTGGGAAAGGGTGGCCCTGTCCTAAGATGGTCTGAGGAGAGGATATTGCCTGGTGGGGTTTTGGGAAAGAGACTCTGATTTAGTTCTGAGGAGGGTGGCCCTAGCATGGAGCATTGGAGGAGGAGGTTTGTCCACCCTGGACATATTCATGGGGGGAGGCAAGGCTCAGCCTTTGAGACCTGGTTTGAGGTGAAACATCTGAGTGGAGAGACCCTAAGATGCCATTTGGAGGCTTGGCACCCACAGGTTCTGCTCTCAAGTGCGATCAGCGGGCTATCAATGAGCTGGCAAAGGTTTTTTTGTTTTTGTTTTGGAGCCACAACCAGCAGTGCTCAGGAGTTACTTCCAGCTCTGTGCTCAGGAATTATTCCTGGTCGTGCTTGGGAGGTCACAGGGAATACTGGATCGAACCTGGGTCAGCTGTGCGCAAGACAAGCGCCCTACCTGTTGTACTATTTCTTCAGCCCTGGGAAAGTCTTTTTTTAACAAATTTTGGTTTTGGGCAACTCCTGGCACTGCTCAGGGCTTACTCCTGGCTTAGTGCTCTGGGATCACTCCTGGCAGGCTCAAGAGGACCATATGGGTTGCTCGGGATGGAACCCCTTGTCTGTACAAGTCTAGCACCTTATCCACTGTACTATTGCTCCGGCCCATGGGAACTTTTCTTGAAGGTGGGGGTGGCCTGGCCAGCTCCACCCTGGCTTAGCCGTTCTCTACCTCCAGGATGACCTTGTGCAGACCATAGGTGTGAGTGCAGCACTGGGGGCAGCCGGCGTGGTGCTCTGGGGGGACCGGAACATCTCCGATTCTCAGGTGATTGTTTCCTTCTCCTGCATGCCATGGCCCATTCTAGGGTCTGATGGAAAGACATCATAGTAGGACTGTGGAGCGGGTGCACTGATGCACTGATTCCCCTCTCTTTAGGAGGAATGCTGGACTCTCTCTGAATACCTGGTGGACACCCTTGGTCCCTACGTGATCAACGTGACCAGTGCAGCCATGGCCTGCAGCCACCAGCTATGCTTTGGCCATGGGCGCTGTGTCAGGCGAGAACCAAACCAAATGGAAGCCTTTCTGCATGTGCTGCCAGATGGCAGCCCTCAAGCTTGGACATCCTTCATCTGCCACTGTTACAAGGGCTGGGATGGCCCTACCTGCCAGGATCAAGGGTCTGAACCTGAGTTTAAAGAGGAAGCCTAAAAGCAGGAGTTACCTGCCCCTGTGCCTCTTGTCCCTGCTGCCATTTTCCAGTCCTGGAAGGGAGGGCTCATTGTTGGCCTTTTCAGCTTACAGTACGTTCTCCCATGCACACATACCACTTGCCATGGGATCCTGGGGGAAAGGGACAGGATGGGTGGGGGGAGAACCTTTAGGCCCTTTTAGAACCCAAGTGCAATATCACCTCATTCCTCCAGACCAGGAAACAGCCTCAGGTAAGAGAGTGCCTTCCAGTTAGGGTTGCCACAGTGCTCCATGCCTACACCTCTGTGAATCCATAAAAAGATCATAGGAAAGTGTTCAGGGACAGGTGGGTCCCAAGATTCTTAGCTGAGGTCTGAAAGTGCCAAGCTGTTGCCTGTATTCTGCTTTCATCATAAAGTCACTTATTCTTTCACTGTCTGAGGTTTGGCTGATCCTCTCTCCCATCCTACCTACCGAGTGCCTCGTTCTCTCCTCCGTCAGCCCTTCCCCTACCCCGTGCAACACACACACACACACACACACACACACACACGGAAAATGCCCAGAGAAGCTGGTTCTGCAGTGACTGGCAGCTTCCAGTTCCCAACTTGGTGGTCAGTCTGTGTGCACGTGGGGGACGGCGGTGCGGGGTGGGGGCGGGGGGCCTCGGGCATTGTGGGTGCATAGTTCAGCTAGAGCGCCGCGGGCTCCCAGGTCCCCGGAGTAAACTACAGCCCCCAGCATGCCCCGTGCCTCGCGGGCCGGCGGAGACTGCGCGCGCAGGCCCCCGGGAATCGTAGTCTCGGTCACGTGCACGCGGGGCCGCGCTGCAGCGACCGGAACTCGCCTTCCCGGCGACCCGTCTAGCTGGGCCGGGCGCTAAAACACGCCTGGCTGGGCGGGGCGCCTCGCGAAGATGGTGGCGCGCTCGGAGTGTGGCTCCCACCGTCTGCCCAAGTGTCAGCTCGACGCAGCGGCTGCCGTGTCGCCGGCCTGGAGCCCCCGGCCGCCCGGGCCCTGACCCTGCGCCTCCGCGCCCGGGTCCCGACATGCCGCGTGCCCGTAAGGGCAGCAGCGCGCCCCGCAAGGGCGGCCAGCACCGCAGAGCGGGTAAGTCGGGGGCATGGGCGAATCCTGGGCAGTGATCCGGGACCCAACGGGGGGTGGTTGGCGGTGTCCCCCAGGGCCCTGGGTTGCCGGCTCCTGCCTCGACCCGCCCGGAGGCAGTGCTGGCCGCCGCCCGCCCGCACCGACCCCAGCAGACAGCGGCCACGTGCGCGCCCAACTTGAGCGCACCACACGCCAGGTCTGCAGGGAGAGGGAGGGTCGCCGCTACCGACGCCACGCGGCTACGCCGCGACCCCCACACCCTCTCCGGCCGCGGGTTCCCCGTTGGCCCTGTACTTCACTCGTCCTCAGTGGTGAGACAACTCGCTGAACAGAACCAACTCGCTGCCCAGCCCCCGGAGCCAAGTGTTCCTTAAGTCTCCGGAGTGGGGGGACAGAGTCGGGTGGGTGGTGGGCGCTGGTGCCGGCCTCACGCTTGGAAGGCAGCCGCCCTGCCGCTGTGCTCTGTACCCGTGGCTTCCTGGTTTTATACCCGGAGCCTTAGTTCTTTTCCTGGATTAGACTAGGAAGTTGAAGGGAGGCCTTGCCTGCCCTGGGCACTGAGGAAGAAGCTGGGGGAAAACCGCAAGGTCCAGTTCTTGGTGGCTCTAGACTGAGGAAGAATTCCCAGGAGCTCATGGTAGGCCCCAGACTCTCTTATCAGAGTCTACCAGGAACTTGTCTGTTACTGTCAACACATGTTTACTCTGCAAGGCTGGGATATCTGCTAGACACTGGCTGGCAACCGCCCTAATAGGTTAACTTGTGTGGGGGACACCTAAGGCTTGGGATAAACCAGGGTAGCTCTTGGGAGCTTCAAGCCTGGGATACTTTGCCCTGGGAAACTAGGAGCTTCTGGGGCTTGAGTGGCAGGATTGCAGGTGAGCTTGTTGACCCCCCCCCCCATAAAAAAGATAGTCACTTGTTTAGTCAGTTACCCTTCCCGAAAGAGGTGTTTTTGCAGATGAAAAACCAGGCCTTGAAGGCTACTCATATGACCTTTATACTCCTGTTATGATATGGAACTGAGATTTGAATGCTGGCTCTGACTCTCTCATCTAAGCCCTGACCCTTACCCTGGCGACTGGAGGCAGCCCACATTACTGGTTGGTGACTGTGCTCCCTCAGGATCTGCCTGGATTCCTCCTCGCTCCAAGCTGGGTCATAAGCCTACCTGGAACTGGGAGCAGGCTCTAGTCTCAGAGAAACTGCTTCCCTGGCCTGCTAGGTTTTCCCAGCCTGGGCCTGATGTTCCCTTTCTCCTGCTTCCTGGCTCAGCTGCCCTTGTACCAATCCCTGCACTTCCCTCGTCGGCCTCAGTGTTCCCATGTCAAAGAGCTGCAACGTTTTGTGGGCCTGGTGAGGGAACCCAACAATGGAGGCAGTCCAGGCTGGAGCAGTAGTATAGTGGGTAAGGTGCTTGCTCTGCACACGGCTGACCTGGGTTCAATCCCCAGCATTCTATATGGTCCCCCAAGCCCCATCAGGAGTGATCCCTGAGTGTAGAGACAGAAGTAAACTCTGAGCATCTCAGGGGGTAACCAAAAAACCAAAGGGGGCAAGAGAAATAGTACAGCTGGTAGAGCGCTTGCCTTGCATGTGAATGACCCAGGTTCAATCCCCAGCACCCCATGTGGTCCCCCGAGCCCCTGCCAGGAGCCAGGAATGATCCCTGAGCTCAAAGCCAGGAATAAACCCTAAGTACTACCAGGTGTGGCCCCAAAACAAACAAGCCAAAAAACAGTGAAGGCAGAACAAGTGCCTCTGCTTCCCCTCAGGTGCCCGGAGCAGTACCCAGGCTGACTCAGGTTCCAGTGAAGATGAGGCTGCCAGCGAGGCCCGCAGCACCACCAGTGACTGCCCCAGTCTTCTGAGCACCACTGGGGAGGACAACCTTGGTGAGAGAGGGTGGGCGTTTGACAGGGACCCACAGGGTTCAATGGACTGGGGCTGGAAGCGAGACTGACCGGCTAGCTGGCCTTGCAGGCGGGGATGCCGTGGATGAGCAGGGCCAGCAGGAAGACCTTGAGGAGAAGCTGAAGGAGTATGTGGACTGCCTTACAGACAAGAGGTACCCTTGACTGCCAGGCCACCCTTCCACCCATGTCCCTGCTCAGCCCAGGCCAAACGTGACTCGGGTAGGGCTGGACCCCATGACCCCTCCCTCCACTCCCTCTACGTCCCCCAGTGCCAAGACCCGGCAAGGTGCTCTTGAGAACCTGCGCCTGGCCCTGGCATCCCGCCTCCTCCCTGACTTCTTGCTGGAGCGCAGCTTTACACTGGCCGATGCCTTGGAAAAGTGCCTCAAGAAAGGTTGGGCCCAGGGGCACACGGGGGACCTGAACTGGCTGGGTGCTGACCTTTGCTGACTGGACTAACTGCAAAGCATCCCTGCAGGGAAGGGCGACGAGCAGGCGCGGGCGGCTGCCGTGCTGGGCCTGCTCTGTGTGCAGCTGGGCCCCGGACCCAAGGGCGAGGAATTATTCCGTAGCCTGCAGCCCCTGCTGGTCTCTGTGCTCAGCGATACCACAGCTAGTCCCGCTGCCCGGCTCCATGTAAGTGACCCCTTGTCCCACGACACCTGTCCCTCTCCTCGTCTCAAACAGACGGGGTATTCCCATGAGCCTGGGACCCATCTCGACCTGACTGCCTGGCTCTGCCCTCCTCCAACAGTGTGCTTCTGCTCTTGGCTTGGGCTGTTACGTTGCTGCCGCTGATGTCCAGGTAAGTTATTTTGGATGCAGGTAGTAGAGCCCCAAGGCCCTCACCGGGCATCTGAAGTCTTTTTCTCCTGCCTCTCTATGCCTCTAGGATCTGGTTTCTTGCCTCACATGCTTAGAAGGTGTCTTCAGCCGGTCCTGTGGTGCAGGTGGCTCCACAGCCCCTGCGGCCCCCGCCGGCCTGCATGGCCTGCTCTGTGCTGCCCTACAGGCCTGGGCATTGCTACTGACCATCTGCCCCAGCACCCACATCAGCCACATCCTGGACAGGTAGGGGCAGCTGCCCCCTGGGAAAGGCCTGGGGGTGGGGGTGTCAAGAATCTCAGGACCGACTTGCAGCCCAGCCTGCCCTCTTACCAGGCAGCTGCCGCAGCTGACCCTGCTGTTGTCCAGCGACAGTGTGACCCTGCGGATGGCTGCGGGCGAGACCATCGCTCTACTCTTTGAGCTCGCCCAGGACCTGGAGGTGTGCAGGGCTGCAGGGCGGCTACTACTGAAGCCACTGGCCCGTCAGGGTGGAGGCTGGGGCTGCTACAGCAAACAGGGCAGCCTTCGGCTGTCATGGCGGGAAGTAACCCCCAGCCTGACTTGTGGGCGCTGTGGCGGACTCCCTTGTGCTGAGAGCTGCTTGCCTCCGCGGCAGGAGGACTTCATTTACGAGGACATGGAGACACTCTGTGAGGCCCTGCGCACTCTGGCCACCGACAGCAACAAGTTCCGGGCCAAGGCCGACCGCCGGCGGCAGCGCTCCACCTTCCGTGCCGTGCTACACTTTGTGGAGGTGCGTGGGGGCCGTGTCTCTGTCCTAGAGGGTGCCCCTCCTCCCCCTTGCCCCCAGACACAGCCCCCAAGCCTGGTCATGTGGACACCCCCCATCCCACTGCAGGGTGGCGAGTGTGAGGAAGAGACGATCCGTTTTGGGCTCGAGGTGCTCTATGTGGACAGCTGGGCACGGCGCCGGGTCTACGCCGCTTTCAAGGATGTGCTGGGTTCCGGCTTGCATTATCACCTGCAGGTGGGGTGGTGGGCGAGACGGGGACCGGGGGTAGCCAGCAGCTGCCTCTGGCCAGCCCGAGCTCAGCTCCCTCTGCCCGCAGAACAATGAGCTCCTGCGGGACATCTTCGGCCTGGGCCCCGTGCTGGTGCTGGACCCCACTGCTCTCAGGGCCTGCAAGGCCTCACGCTTCGAGAAGGTTGGCACCTGGCTCGCCCTTCCCCTCCCTTTGCTTCCTGGGGCTGGGGGCTGGAGGAGTGGAGGGGAGCCTCCCACGTTGTCACTGTCGTTTCCCCACCCCTAGCACCTGTACAATGCCGCTGCCTTCAAAGCCAGGACCAAGGCGCGCAGCCGTGTGCGGGACAAGCGGGCAGATGTCCTGTGAGGCGTGGCCCGCGAGAGACCATCAGCGCCCTCAGCTGCATTCATAACAGAAGACAGTGCCACAGCTGGTCTCTGCTGTGAATTGTTGTTTTATATTTTTAATGACAAAAAACAAAAAACCAGAGGGGTAGAGGCCAGCTCAGGGGGACTCGGACCCTTTGCCTCTGCACTCAGCTGTGAGGCCCCTTCCTGCCCCCTCCCAGGCTGTGGCACGGGCAGTGGGGCACTTTCCCTTTCCTTTCTCAGGTCTTCTCCCCTGGGATGAATCACTTCCTCGGGGCTTCAGCGTTTTGGACACTTGCCATATTAGGGAGGCGAGACTACTGGAATGAATTCATGTGCTGATTTATAGCTTACTAGAGATCATTAAACTGAATGCTCTGCTTTGAAGGGTCTCAGCTCCTTGCTCCTTCTGCCTGCCTGCCCCTGCCACATCCACCACCCCTGACCACCCCACCGGCTTCCCTCAGTCTCCCTGTCACCTATGCCCTTCAGGGCAGGCTCCCCATGGTGACCCCGCTCTGTGTGAGCAGCGGCTCTAACCCCCTGCTGGGAGGCTCAGGCGGCGCCTGGATGACCGGGAGGGGACAGCTATTTCTGGACTTGGGGGCCTGTTGTCTGGGGGAGGCCAGAGGGTGCTGACAGGCCACAGGAGGAGCCAAGGGGGCTGGGTTACTTCCTGGGGCTTTGGCACCCTAAAGCTTGACTGCCCACTGGCCTGCAGAGGTCAGAAGTGGGCAACTGTAGGGGTCAGATCACTCAGACAACGGCCTGACCAAGCAAGTGGTATGGCCAGGGGGCAGGGAGAGGAGAGACCTGCCAGCGGTCACTTGATTCGTACTCTCGCCCCCGAGGAGCAGCCGCCTCTCAGCTGGGTGCTCGGGCCTCGCTGTTGTTGAGCCTGCGCAGTTGGCTGAGGCTGGCCAGCCGCAGCTTGAGCAGTACCTCCTCCTGCGTGCGCAGTGTGTGTGCCAGGACACGGAGGGACTCACTCTGTAGCACTGCCAAGAGGAGGGCACGGGGGTATCAGACGCCGGCCACCCTGACTCGCCCCACTCCGCACCACACCCTCCCCGCCGTGGCCTCTGCAGCTGCTCCCCGCAGCCACCTCTGATGGCTCATGGGTGGCCTTACCACTCAGGTAGACGGCGAGGATGGCAAGAGCCAGGCAGGTGAGCACCAGCAGCGCCAGCAGCAACAAGAAGCCCAAGCGGCCCTGCAGAGGGCTGCAGCCGGCCTGGGCACACAGCGAGGGTGGCAGGATGCCCAACAGCTCGTCCCAGGACTGCGCCTCGGCCAAATAGGGCCTCAGGGAACCTGTGGGCAGACGAGTGGGTGTTGGAAGGGTGGTGGGTGTGCCCCCTTCCCTCCCTATCCATGTGCGTCCCACGTTCCTGCCCCCCTCACCTCCACCGTGGAGGTCGCTGATGGACTCCACTGGGTGCAGGCGCACTTCCTGTACGTGGTTGGGGGCCAGCGGGACCCTGTTCCTTGGGCTCGGCGTTGGTGCCACTGTGTCTGTAGGGACAGCAGGAGGAGGATTCAATTGGGGGTCACCCTCCTTATTCCTGGCAGCAGAGACTCAGACAAGGGCGGGACAAAGGGACATTTGACTCTTGATCCCCTAAAACCTACTCAGGAATGACCCTTGAGCCCCAGCTGCAGAGATCAGTTTCTGTGCATTGACTCTGCCACTTTGCTGTTTCCCTCCCATAGCCTCAGGGACTCAGGTGTTCACTTCTAGGGGTGTTTCTGAGAGCCATGGAGAAATTTAGTCCAACCCCTGTTCTGTGAGTCAGCCTCCAGGCCAGGAAGAAGGCTAGGCTCTGCCCTGCACCCTGCCATCAGACTGCCATGACCTGAATCAGCGTGATTCAGCGGGCCTGTGTGAACCCGCTGCTAGCACTCCCACTCTGCGCCAAGGCAGAAGACCTGCCTTCCTTATCAGACTCACACAGTGTGCCCAGGAAGGCCTGTGAGGGAGCCCGGGCCGGCAGTGTTTCAGTTCCCTTTGGAAATTAGTAAACCCTAGGAACGGGACTAAGGATGTCCATCACTGGGCAGGGAAGGTGTTACCACTCTCCTGATAGTTTCCTTCCCCCCGCCCCCCTCTCCCCATCTACACCTGGCTCTGTCAGGGATCACTCTGGAGGTGCTCAGGGGACCATATGGGATGCCAGGGATTGAAACCAGGTGAGCCTTGTGCAAGGCAATGGCTCTACCCCACTGTACTGTCTCACTTTCTCCCCAAGAAGGTCTTAGCCAATACACACACACCACCCCCTATCCCAGTGCTAAGGATCAAATACAGGGCATCACATTTGCAAGGCAAGTGCTCTGGCACTCATCAAAGTGCCCTGGAGACCATACAGCGCTGGAGATCAAATCTGGGGCTCCCACAGGCAAAGTACGTGTGCCAGCCCTACACACATTCCAGCATTAGACATAAAACTACACATCTTAAGAGGGAGATGTGAACCCACATGTGCTTGGTCAATGTGGGCATTAGCTGCACATGGGCTCGGGCAGCATATGAGCTAAATGTTTCTTTTATATCTGTTTTTTAATTTTATTTATTATTTAGATCTTAGCTCTGTCAGACCTCCTGATGTGCAGGAAGGAACGAGGTAGCAAAGTGGAAAGTGGGAGGTTTTAAAGGAATGCCCCCTGTGAGGGGCAAGTGTGATCGCACTCTGGGTCTGTCATCTTCAGAACAGTAACAACCTTCATGATTTCCTTGAAACTTGCTCTTGACATGCTCAAGTAAATAAAAGCAGTGGTTGCCTGCTTGCCATCTGTATGGATGGTGGGAGGGGGCTCCCATTAAATTGCCCCCTTTTTTTTTTGCATGTGGCCAAGTTTACCTCATACTTTCTAAACTGAATCTATTTTATTTTTTTTATAATGTAGGAGCACTGCTATTTATTCAGCCATTGATTAAGCTGATTAAGTTGGGCATGAACTCCACATTACTTTTTTTTTAATCTTTAAATTTTATAAGTTAGTTCACAATGTTAGATTACATTCAATATTCAAACACCAATTCCACCACCATTACACCTTCCCACCACCAAATTTGGGATATTTCCATCCCAAACGCCAATCCCTGCCCCAAAACACAACCAAAATAACATTTTGTATTATCTGTCTAAACTGAATTTAGATTGGGTTTCAAGCCTTGGACAAGGCTAGAGAGATAGTACAGTGGGTAAGGTGCTGGCCTTGCATGCAGCTGACCCATGTTCAATCCCTGGTTCCCATAGGGTCCCCTGAGTCCTGTCAGGGGTGACTGCTGAGTGCAAAGCCAGGGGTAGGCCCTGTGTGCCCAGGTGTGGCCCCAAAACAAAATCAACACATGTGTATGCACACACCCAGAGCAGGCCCCTCCTAATGAGGCAGGCTGCTGGGTTGAAGTGTAGGGTGCAGGGTGGAGCCACTGGGGCAATTTCATGAATGACCACTGAAGTCTGCACAAGCAAAGCCAGTATGTCTGGACCAAACTGCCCTCCCCGCTACACACACACACACACACACACACACACACACACACACACACTTTTGCCAGTTGCGGGCACTGGGGTATAGGTTGGAGATGTCCAGAAGCCTGTTCACTTCATCAGGGCCATTTACCCAAACACTTCCTGAAACCATGACCACCACTAATCCCAGCTTCCTCCCTGAAGGCAGGACCGGCCTGGCCAGACCACTGGCCAGCTCACACACACAATGGCACAACCCAAAGTACCTCCTCCTTTGCTCCCCCAAATCCCTCCCTGCTGCCCTGAGGTGGAGGTAGGGCCTGAGTGAGGAGGGATCCAGCCTGACTGTGTGAGTTCCTCCTCAGGCAGAGACACGGGGACGGACTGGTCCAGGAAGGAGGACAGCAGCTTTCAGGAAACAGGCAGCTTTCTCCGTGTCCATGGTGTGGAAGGCCGGCCTGCCCTCCCTCCCTGCCTCTCTTACCTTCTTGGGTCTCCTCAGGCATGGTGGCACTCAGGCCGATGACAGTGCCCAGCAGCAGGATGGCAGGATGGGGGCAGCAGTGGCTTCTCTGAGCCCAGAAGGCCTGGCCACCTCCCAGTCGGGGCCTAAAATTAGGCCTGAGCTCAGCACCCAGGGCTATATTTAGAGGGGGCAGCTCTTAGCCATGGAAAGGGGCAGAGAATCACAGGGGCTGGCCTGGATTAATTCTCCGGTGATGGAGCCCAGACAAAAGTACATATGTCCAGGGGAAGCCTGGGGAACCCCTACATATGCATGGGTGCCTTCATCTAGAAAAGCCACCTCAGGCTCAGTCTCCAGAATGTTCAGCATGGCAAGACAGGCTGTGTGCCCCACACTGCACCCTCAAGCGATCATTCCTCCTCCAAGCAAAGGGAAGACGAGAACCCATTACTGTGACCTACCTGCTAGTACCAGGGACTGGGGCGGGGGGACAGAAACCTACTGCACAGGGCCAGGCAGGCAGAGACACCCCATAAAACACATGCACCTATGCAGGTCAGTGGACTGGTACTTCCGTTATAATGCTAATAAACTGGGGGAAGATTTACTCTAATATTTACTCACACCTATTAACCAGTACTAGCAATGCAAGGTGTTTTTGTTTCTTCTTCTATTTTTTTTTTTGGTATTTGGGTCAGGTGATGTTCAGGTGATGTTCAGAACTTACTTTTGGTTCTAAGTCCTGGAGGGTTTGGGGAACCTTAAGGAGAGTAAGGGATTGAACCTGGCTCTGCTGCATGCAGGGCAGATGCTCTGCCCGCTGTACTACCACTTTAGCCTCGGGGTTTTAATTCATTTCTGCAGTGCTAAGGATTGAACCCAGGGCCTCATATGGGCTTCCTGGCACCAATTACCCCTGAAGGGGAGACATGCTCCAGCTAAGGGTCCACACTCTGCTGTTGACCCCTGTGCCCCTCCTAATAAATTGGACAAATAAGACAGGGTAAGGGGAGGGCTGTACCTTCTAGAACATCCCAAACCCACTAGGACACCATAACACTCTGGCCCCCTTGATGTTCAACAAACATGGCAAGCATATGCCCATGTCAGGGTCCTGGGTCCTTGGCCGTGGCACTTCTTCCTGGAACCTGCCTCCAGATAGTTCCACGGCTCACACCTCATCATTTATGTCACCAGTGAGGCCTTCTGCACGTCATTTTCCGTAGCACCCAGTTTTATTTTCTTCACAGCATCAGCCCACAAACTGGATTACTCAGAACATACTATGCACGTGCGCATGCCCAAAAGTCCTGCAGAATCCACCCGGTGGCATAAAAAACAGCCACCGTTAGTCTCATCCGAAGCATCGCAGACACAAGAAACCGAGGTCCCAAGACTGCTAGGAAAGTGCCCCAGGCCACACGGCAAGACCTCGGAGCAGCGGTTGTCTGCTGTGGCCATTGCAGTGCAGGGAACAGTTTATTGCGTTAGTACAGTTGGCCCACCCCGCCCGCCCGCCCAGCCTCTTCACAGCTTCTGCTCTTTGCCAGGGGAAGGAGGTTCGTCCCGGGAGGGCGCCCTTGGCACCTCCCTGCCCTGTCGTTCCTGGGAGCTCTGCTTCTCTGCCCTGTGCCTGGCTTGGGCTGCCCCTCCTGGGGCTACATTCAAGGGTTATCCTCTGTTAATAAATAAGCCGGAGCGGCTGCCCCTCGGCCAGGGCCTGTCGTCGGTGTCTCTGTTGCCGGGGACCACAGTGCGCCTGGCCCCTAGCGGTCAGTCTCCCAGGGTCTATCCGCCCCTTCGCCCCTGTCGTCTCCTGCCCAGTCCCTGGCGTGGGAATGCCGCGTCACCAGTGCGCGGCGCTGCGCGGCCCCCGCTCAGCTCGCGGCTCCGGGGCGTGCGTCCGCCGGTTGCGGCCCTTCCTCCGCGCATCGGGGGACGCCTCGGGGGGCGCCTCGGGGGGCGGGGGGCGCGGCGCGGGAGGCGGCCGGCACATTCGCAGGGAGCTCGCGCCGCCACCGCCGCCGCCACCGCCGCCCGGCTCCACCAACTGCAGGAAGTCCCGGTACCAGAGCTTGGGGCCCGGCGGCGCGGCGGGCGCGGCGTCCTCGCTCCGTGCCAGCCTGTCGGCCTGCGCCGCGCTCAGCACGTGCAGCGCCAGGCGGCGCAGCGGCTGCGAGAAGCCCTGCTCCACGGCGGCGCACAGGTACGCGCCCGAGTCCCCGCGCCGCAGCCGGCGCAGCAGCAGCCCCGCCGGGGTGCGCTCAGCGCGGTCCTCCGCCGCCACCTGCGGGCCGGGTCAACGGAGACCGGGCGTCAAGGACCAAGGGTCTTCAGAGGGAACCCCAACCGGGAGGGGAGCCCCTGGAAGTGGAGGGGGGCGGGGTTAGGACGCGTTAGGCTCCCTCGGTGTGGGGCAGGGGCAGTCGGCTAGATGGGTCCGGGTAGCCTCATCCCGGGGGAGTTAGGGACCAAAGGCGATGTGATGGGGCAGAGAGTACAGTTTGGGCTGGACGCGTCTAGATACACGAAGCCAGCGTGGGGCCCCGTTAGTCAGGTCAGGACCTCTCCGGATGTAGGGGGGCCCACCTGGGTGCCGGTTTGCTCCCCCGCGCGCTGGACGGTCCACTCTAGGCGCGCCTGCAGTGAGCGGGGCTCACACTCCAGGAAGACGCTGCCGCCCTCCACGCCAAACACCTTCCGCTCCAGCAGCACGGGACGGGATGAGTCTGGGGACCCGAGGAATATCAGATGGGGCCCAGCGGGGCGGGATGGGGTCTGGGGAAAGACGGGGCACTCACCCCCGGAGCACAGCGTGCTGGGGTCTCCATTCCTGACATCTTGTCTCCGGAATCGCCTGGGGATAGGTAACAGTGGAGCCCTCTGGAGCCAAGAGGCTTTCTTTTCGCCCAGGACAGCCAAAGAGCCTTAGCCTCCCCCCCTCCCCGCAGCCTGCCCCACCCCTGCCCACCTCTTGGCGCTCGGCTGGAAGCGTGTACACGCGGCACCGTCCCAGGCGCAGTAGGGGTCCCGTGCCAGGCAGCACTCGGCGCAGGCGCGGCCATGGGCAGCGCAGCGGTACAGCGGGATCTGGGCCACCCCGCTCCTCGAGGCTATGTACAGCTGGTGCTAAGGGGCAGAAGTGGAGGTGGGGGCGTCAGAGAGTTAACGGATGGGAATATTGGGGTCTTGGATCACAGTCTTTGGCAGAGCCTGAACTCCAATCCGGGCTGGAACTATGAATGGACCGCTGGGAGTGGGGGCCAGGGTGTTCCAGAATGTGCTGGGTTCACTCCATCCCCAAAGCTCCTAGTCACTTACCCTCTTGGAGGAGATTTGCATACTGGTGACAGCAGATGAATCCTGAAAGGAAAAAAAAGTTGCTGAAGTCTGGGCTCAGGAGGGTGGGAGCACCCCAGGTGCCAGGGAATGGAGGGGAGGCCTCACCTCAAAAACCTGCAGCTCCTCCAGAAGCAGCCCCTCTGCGCTGGGTCTCCCGCCCTTGGGCACAGAGATCACCTTCAGCACTGTGCCCACGTCTGCAGGGGTGAGAAGGGACGGGTGATCCAGAGTTCCCTGCCACTCAAGGTGGGGGGCTCCTCGCCTCTGGGGTCTATGTCCTCAGCATGGTTGGGTCTCTAAAGATTATGGGCTGAGGGGCTGAGACATGGCCCCATGGTAGAGCACACCCCTCCAATGAATGAGACCCTGGATTTGATTCTTGGTATCCCAAAAAACGGATGTGGTTGGGGGGTGGTCAGGGTTTCTTCAGAGCAGCAGCTTTCCAGGCCAGGGGTCTGATCCTGGTAGCACCGCTACTGGGAGCCTCAGGGCCACAGCCACGTTTGTGATTTCTGGCACACTGCAACCAATGTGCAATCCTGGGTTACCCCAACAAAAGGAAGGGAAGTGGGCGGCAGGTAGGTGGATTCATTAGGGAGATATCCAGCTGGGAAGGGGCAAAGCTGAGGCAAACCATGGAAATAAGTCTGCACGGGGGGGGGGGGGGGGGGTTCCTACTAACAGGTCAAAGACTGGACATGTGGGTCATGAGCGGACTCACCGGTGCCAATGAAGAGGACGTCGTAGTGTCCATCAGCAGCTGCCACCCGGTCCGCAGTGATTTGAGTGAAGGTGTACCCAGCGCCCACTTGTAAAAAGAGAGGCCGCCCCCCCACGGGCAGGACAGAGTTATACATAAGGGGGTGGTTGCGGGCAAACTGGATGACATCATCAGGAAAGTCCTTGGTGGAGCTGAAGGTGCCAAACGTTTTGCTGGGGCACTGGGGGTGGGGAGGAAAGGAGACATGCCAGGGATGTGGGCCTGGGGGTCCAAGGGGCAGCCCCTCAGAAGAGACCTCCAGGAACCAGGAGTGTGTGCATGTGTGCAGGACAGACCTTACCCAGGGGCTCCGAGTGAGGAGGCCCAGCCTTGCCCTGGGGAATCTGAGTGGGGGCACACAAGCCTCCCCCCGAGGAGCCCTGTCTCAAGAGAGTGACTTTCCCCACCAGAAAACAAAGCATGTCACCACCAGGACCCCGGGCTGAGTTCTCCACCCCAAACTCTGTAGAGGGTATCAGGACGGGGGGGACAAGGCTACGCACCATACCAGGCCGGGGGTAGGGGACCCGGCCCTGGTAGGACACCCACTGGTGCAAGGGCCCCTCTTTGTGTGCAAAAGGTCCAAGGAAGGCCCGGCGCACATCATTCATGCTGTACACGCACACTGCCGAGCCCTGGAAGATGTCACTGCAGATGGAGACAGGAGTGGAGTGAGGGTCCCAGGGGAGTCAGCCCTGTCCTCTCCCCCCACTCCCACACATCCCTAACCTGGAGGTGGAGAAAATGGCATAGAGCAGCGGGCTCCAGCGGTCCCGGGAAGTCAGCAGGAACACGTCCTCTGTGGGAAAGGGGCCTGGATAAGAGCGGACACACAGCCCTTCGGGGGCCCCCAGCTGCCCGGTCTCTGCACTGGGCGCCCCCTCCAGCCCTCCAGTCTCATCCACCCCTCTGTGCTCACGCAGCTGGTCGAAGTGCGTGTCTCCCTCCACGCCAGGCACTGAGCACACGAGTCGCGCCTTCAGAAACGTGGTCCACTTGTTGACCAGGCTGCGCTGGCCACCCACATCATTCTGTGGGGTCAATCAGATGAGATTACGAGAAGGGCAGGCAGGCAAAGGGCCAGGGGTGGGGTGGTGGATGTGCCCCGGAGTCTCCTCACCCGGCAGATCTGGCCGACACGAGACACAGACCGGCGTCCCAGAGCCGGGGAGGCCTCCACTGCCAACTCCCGAAAGAAGAAGTAGATCTTGTCATCATCTGGGTTCTCGTTCTCCGGGATCCAAAACACCTTGATGAATTTTGGCTCTGGCCATACATAGCAGGGGACTTGGAGTCAGGGTCTACCACCCCACCCCAAGATCCATGCTTCGCTTCCACTTCTGTTAGAGCTTTGACTATAATGGGGTATATCTGACCACTGATGAACCCATCAGTGCTGACACAATCCAGAGAATCAGGGGTTGTGAGTCCCAAAGCAGCCGCGAGAGGGCAGCAGAGACCATAGCTACCTGGGCATGCAGGCCATTGAGGTTGGGGGGACCCAGGCTGAAGGCAGTCCTCTGACCTCACTCCTTACATTTTCTGAGGCCAGTGGGCCGAGAAAGATGGTACAGTGGTTAAGGCATTTTCCTGGGATACAACTGACCTGGGTTTGATTCCTAGCAACCCATATGGTCTCCTGAGCACCAGAAGTAAACCTTGGGTACAGCCAAGAGTGGCCCAAAAACCAAAAAGGAAAAGGAGGGAGACTGGGTGTCTGGTGGTGTTTATTTTGGTTTTGTGGCTTTGGGGGTCACACTTGGTGCTTAGGGGTTGCTCTCCATGGTGCACAGGGGACCATGCTATGCCAGAATTGAATCTGAAGCCCCTCTATTTTAGACAGAATAAATTAACTGTAAGGTGAACGTGTGAATGTCTAATCCCCAAATATGCATGTACTCCTGTTTTTGTGGGGGGCAGCATGCTCAGGGAACCAGGTACCATATGTTGTAAGGAACTAAGCTGGGGTCTACTGTATGCCAGGTGAGCACCTTAATCTCTACTCCATCGCTCTTGCCATGGATTGGTTCTTTTTTATTTTCTTTGCTTTTTGGGTCACACCTGGCTCTGCACTCAGGAATTACTTCTGGCAATGCTCAGGGGACTATATGGGATGCTGGGAATCAAACCCGGGTCGGCTGCGTGCAAGGCAAACACCCTACCCGCTGTGCTATCACTCCAGCCCTGCCATGGATTGAGTCTTGATGTGGGTGACTGAACTGAGGGTCTCCTATTTGCAAAGCAAACACTACCACTGAGCTACCTCCCTACCCTTACGGAGTTGTGCCAGACCTCCTGAATTTTCTTCCTTAGCAGGAAACATGCCCCTTACTCCAGCCTCAAGCACTGCTGGTCTCAACACTCAGAACGGTTCCTGCCAGTGCAGCTCCCCATTCTTGCACCCTTCAGAAATCCCTTCTTGGACTTCTTCCTGCCTGAGGACCTTTTCACTAGTTTGCTCTTCCCTCAATCTGTTGGGCTTTGGGAATTATCTCACACCTGCCTTTCTATTCCCAACCCTCTCACCCTCCCACCAAGTCCGTGGTCCCCCTTCCCCATTCCTCTCTACTCTCTCATTGACCTCCTGGCCATTGGAATTGATCTTACTGTGAATTCGTTCTGAGGTCTGTCAGGTGTGTGCGTGTGTGTGTGTCTGTGTGTCTGTGTCTGTGTGTGTACGTGTACGTGTACGTATGCGTGTATGTGTGTATGCGTGTATGCGTGTGTGGTGCGTGTATGTACCTTCCTTTCAGGGGCCTTCCTCAGCACCTGCCCACCAGCCCACCAGCCCTCCAGCCTCTCACCGTTCAGCCAGCGAGAGTCATGTGGCTCTGTTCGAAGACCAGGGCGACGGCCCAGGCTGCGGAAGATGGTGAAATCTCGGCCCATGAGGTCCGCTGCCACCCCCGAGTACAGCTCTTCCCCTGCAGACAGGGAAGGGCTGTAAGGCCAAGCACAAGGCTTGGGGTGTGGGGTGCAGGGCGGGGGGTGCTGTGGAGCTCCAGGCTGCTCAGGAGAAACACTGTGAGGGTGTGGGGCCCTGAGGGGCCCAGCCTCCAGACTCACCCACCAGCACGGAGGCAGCCCTGTGGCTGGGGTCGTAAGGGCTCTTCCCCTTGCCGTCCTCCAGCCTTCGGAGGTTCAGCCGCAGCACGGGGTCCTGAGGGGCGACAGTTACTCCCGGGCCTGGCCTCAGGCACCCGACCTCCTTCCCTGCCTGGACTGGCCTTACCTCCAGCCGCTGGCCCACTTCCACGAAGGCGCAGGTGGGATGGAAGGCGCCCGTGCCACAGGCCAGCAGGTGGGTGCGGTTGTAGGCATGTAGCAGCTTCACAAAGTTCATGCACTCCGTCTGAGGTGGGGGGCAGGGCCCGTGAACCCCAGCAGCAGCACCCCAGCCCTTCCCTTTCTCCTCACCAGCCCATGCCCCTGGGTCACAAGCCCAGCCCATCTCTACCCAGAAAGGGTCTGGGAAAGCAGCTCCCCCCACCCCCGCCCACCCCTCTCCCGTGACCCGGAGCCCCAAGAAGAAACCCATGAGTCCCTATTCTGACTCACTACCTTCGGCCCTCAGCCGCTTGGACCCACTGCCATCCCAGCAGAACAGACAGGCCTCTGTCTCAGCACTGGCCCCCAGAGAGTGAGGGGCCCCCGCCCCCACCCACCCAGCAGCCCACACTCACCCCAATGTCCTTGCCCGCCCAGTTGCACTCTTCTCGCCATTCCACTGGAGCCGGCCAGGCCAGCTGGGGGTGGGGAGGACATGGTCAGACCCTTGGGGCACTCTCCCCTGGGTCTTCTCAGGCCAGCAAGAGTGAGGTTCTGGGGCGTGCTGGGGTACCTTTTTGGCCCGCCTGCTGATGTTGTCCAGGTTGAGGGAGGCCACATGGTTCTCGGCGCCCACGAACAGCCGTCCACGCTCCTCATCCACCAGCAAAGCATCATAGCAGCAGGTCCGCTCTAGCCTGAATGTCCGCAGCCCATGGCGGGCCTGAAGCTCTGCAAGGTGTATTGGGGAGGTGGGGGGAACACCGCTGAAGGATCACAGGTCTCATGTTGGAAGTTTCCCTAAGCCCCCCTGCTGGGACTCGCACAGGCCCAGGTGTGTGCCAAGCTGGCCCCGCACACACAAACTCACTTCATGCGCAGAGAGACAGGCTCCCCCTCTGTGTGCAGCCCCCTCCCTGCACCCCGGGGGGGAAGCAGGTGGAGCTTGGCGTGCTGGGACAGGCAGGACCTCCAGGTGGGCACCCTGGGAGGCCAGGATTGTGGGTGCCCGGTTCCGGAAGGACACTGGGCAGTGCAGTAACAGGGAACCCCCCATCCCCCCTACCCGTCAGGCTGAGAGGCTCAGGGTGAGGCCACTGTCTAGTCACCCAGGGGGTGCTGCTGGTGGGGCCCCACGCTGTAGCTTGCCCCTTGCTCCGCTGCAGGGGCGTGGCCTGATGGGGGAGGGAACGGGACAGAGGCACAATCTGTTGCCATGGGGACAGGAAGGGTCTTCCTGGGAAAGCATGAGGGAAATGTGGGCAGAGAAGCTGGAGGCGGAGGCGGCAAGGGCAGGGTTAACCGGAGATGGTGGCCTGGGACCCCCAATGCAGTCCAGTCCAGGCCCCTTGGCACACACACCCTCGCACACACTCTTCCACTCACAGGCTCATAGCAAGCCAAGTCCCCTTCCCGCCCTGCCCCGCAGTGGAGTCCTCTCACCTGCAAAGCTCACCTACCTCGGAAGGAGAGTCGAAGGCGTGGGGAGCTGGGGGTGGCACCCCCCAGCACTGCTACCCCAAGCAGGGCCAGGCCCTGGATCATGGCGGCGGCCTCCGCCCGCCCCATCCCTGCGACTCAGGGCACTCAGGGTTCAGCGGGCATGTGTGGAGGAGCCAGGAGCCGCCCTGGACTCTGCCCCGGGATCTGGAAGAGAAGGAGCTGCAGTGAGGGCGAGGGCGGGCGGGGAGGCTGGGGGGAGTCCCCAGGGATCAGATTACAGCCCCTAGGGGAAAGAAGCTGGGGGTCGCATTCTGCTTCCGAGCCCTCCCCTCCCTCAGAGGGTGCCCAGCCTGGCCACAATCACAGACACACCCACGCTGGGCACAGCCTCCCTCGGGGTCACCCCCACACTGCCAAGCACCCGCCCCACCACGTCACCCTCCCCAGTACCCGCCCTCCCGGCATAGACATTAATTCATAAACTATGTGCTCCGCTTAGGGCCAGCCTGGGACTGGCCTGGGGATAGCGGAGGACTAGACTGGGTCTCCCTGTACACGAGGGGGCAGAGTGACTCAGTCATGCCCGTGGTGGCCAGGGCAGGGGCAAAACAAACTGACCAGTGAGCGTGAATGACACAGACCACAGAGAAACGGGTAGCTTTGGGCCTGCAGCCAGTGGTGTGTGCGCTTGTGCGTGCAAGACTGCTGGGGGTGGCTTTGTGCACACAAAGTGTGCATCTGTGTTGTGTGTGTGTGTCTGGGAGACCACATGGCATTGGCATCGAGTGCAGAATGTGTGCATGCCTGTGTGGCACGTGTGCTTTGAGACATGTGACATGCATGCACACACCAGCGACTGTGTGTCCCTCTGGATGGGCAGGTGAGCACACGCTGTGCAACAGCAAACACTGCCTGGCCTGGGGGCAGCCCTGAAACCTCTTCTCAGGGGGAGAGAAGCACTGACCAGGAGCCCTGGAGACCCCTGGGCCGGGCAGAAACCTCTGACCCGCCACCAGGGGTTGCCCCTGTAACCTGATTTAGCAGCCCAGCGTCACGCTTGACCTCACTCGCTCCCCACCCCAGATGGTGGCCCTAAGGTCACACAGAAATTCTCTGAGCTCTGACTTCAGAGGAATCCAAGAGGCACCAAGTGGGGAGAGGCAAAGATCTGAGGCCGCCTCTCACGCGGGGTGCCGCCTCCCCTCCCCACTCATGTCCCCAGCCCTGGATCTCGGAGTTTCCCCTTCCCTGAGCTCCTCCAGTGCCCTTTCTTCCACCCTTCAGAAGGGGCAGGGGTGCTGCAGTGCCAGGAAGGAGCTAGGGGGCAGGTGCCAGGCAAGTCCTGGTTGAGACCAAGTGAGGCATAGCAGGAATGTGGCCATGCTGAGTGGAGACCCTGGGCTGGGGCAGGAGCGGGGTACAGACCCCAGTCTGCAGACCCCCACCTTCCCGGCCCCTCCCAGGTCACCTTCCTCGGTCCCTCTGCTGACACTTGCCGTGATCCTCCACACAACAGCGCTGCTGTCTTGTGCACAAGCCACCAAGCGCTCCCCACCCCAGCCCTGCTGGGCCCCTGACAAGCTGGGGGCACAGGACACAGGACACCCTCAAATGGCGCCTTTAAGGAGCAGCCCCCGCCCCCACCGAGCCAGCCACCGCCCCGCATGCCGTCAAGTTTATGGGGCGGGCAGATCTGGTGACCCAGCGGGGCAGCAGGGACCGGCTGGAAGTGGTGGCTGGACCAGAGTGGAGCTGCCACTAGGGAGGGGTGTGGAGGGATGTCCCTTCCTGTCCAGGGACAGAGAGCACCCCCTGAGCAGTCCAGAAGTGGGTGAGTGGCCACTCCAAGCAAAGGAGGAAGAAGCAGGAGACACCCCCACCCCCTCCTCCAGTCCCAAGTGACTCTCACAGAGGGAGCAGCTGGGTTGGGGGCACCCCCTCCCCAGGGACTCACCTGTCCCTCCACAAATGGGGAGCTTGAGGGGGTAACAAGACCTTCACCTCCCGCGCTGCAGAGACGGAGGGAGGGCAGGATTCTGAGGGGCCCCAGGCCCCAGCCCCGTCTTCAGCACTTGGGCCCCTGCAGGGTTTCTGCCACCTGGTTGGCAGGGCTGCGAGATACCATCACGGGGGCGGGCAGAGAGGAGGCAGGCGGGGCGCTTGCCCAGCTGCTCCCCCTTCCACACTGAGGGGTGTGGGCGCCTCCAGAGACCCGCGGGGGAGGGCTTCCTCGGCCACCTACCTCCTTCACCCTGTTTCTCCCTGAAGGTGGGAGACCAGTTCCAGCAAATACCGCATGGAACGGACACAGACTGGACCCCGGGGGTCCCCAAACTACCCTTATCTGTTGGGAGGCTCTGGGGCCTGATCTGGGTCTCCAGCAGATCCAGGGGGTCTTGTGGTGCCAGGCTGGGCTGGGGGGGCAGCCATGGCTCAGAGGGCTTTAGTTCCATGGGGTAAGCGCCTGAGAGTTGAGGATGGGCTTCTCCTCCTCCCTGGTGCCCTCCGCACCCCCCCCCCCCCCGCAGTATCTTCCTGCACTCCCCGGGCGGGGGGCAGAGATGTGATACCAGGCCCCGTGCCCTGTCCCTCACTCTGAGCCTCTGCAAGTGGACTTCCGGCTGGGCTGGCAGGCAAAGGGTGGGGGGCAGGGTGCTGGAAGGGGGACGCAGCCCCTCTTGCTCTTGCCTCCGGACGGACGGACTTGGGCAGCCTCCCCCGACTCCACGCGCGAGCAAACAAAATTCTTTGGCTGTTTACAATTTTCCACCCAAGCGGCCAAGATCAGCAAATGCCTTGGAGCCCCCCCCACCCCCCACCCCTGAGCCCCCTACCTGCCCCTGCCTTCTCTTCCTCAGGCCCCAGGTTTCAACCCACCTCTTCCTGGAGCCAACCCAGAATCCCTCCTGGGATGTGGGCCAGGACCTCCACCATCTGTCGGACACCCCGAGACTCACCCCCACCCCCTCCAGGTCCAAGTGCATGCCAGGGCCACGGCCAAAGCCAGGCGGGGGTGGGAGGGGGCGTGGAGCCAGCGGAGCAGCCACTGGCTGTGGGTCACACCAGGTACCCGGCAGCCTGGGGTGGCTCTCAGCACAGTGGAATAGACCGAAGGAGACACTTGGTCCCTGCTCCTGCACCCACTCTGCCTGGGGCACCCTGATTCCTAGGTCTGCACCCCTGTCCAGGAAGCCCTGGGCAGAAGCCGCCTGGGGTGAATGTCCTGGAGTCACCTGCCAAGGCCTTGGCTTTTCTTTCTGGAAATGACTGCCTCATGGTGCCAAGCCCCAGCACCTGCCTAGCCACCCCACTGCAAGCCAGCCTGCCCCTGCCGCCTCAGACTGTCTTGGCTGGGGTGCCAAGCGAGCCCTCCTGGTGCCCACTCACACCTGCTTTAGCCATCAAGGCAAGTGGCACCAAAGCCACGTGCTCCTGGCACCTGCGGCCACCTGGAGCCTAGGATGTTCCCCCCCCCCCCCGCACGTGGCCGGGTAGGGGCAGTGGCAAATGGGCCCTGGAGGCTCACGGACACCCAAAGGTCCTGGCCACACATCTGCCACCAAGCTCAGGGGGGCCCCCCGGGAAGGAGTGGTCAGAGCCCTTCCTCCCCCGCCCCCAGCCTGGTCTTCCTGCTCGGGGGACCCCTGGCCCACCTTTGTGAAAAGATCAGCTCCTCCCCTCCTTGCTGCTTCCCTTCCCTTCTGTGGGCCATGGCAGTGAGGTGGAGGGGCTGCGGGAGGGGCGGCGGCGGGGAACCCTGGGCCTCTAACAGCGGCCCTACCCCCCACGGCCCCGCCCCTGCCCTCCCCTCCCGCACATTCCTCCCGGACTGAGGTCAGCCCCTCTGGGATGGGGAGCCCCCCCACAGCCACATCACAGCTCGGCACTCACTTCTGTTTTCTTCATTGCCCAGCAGGGGCGGGCGGGGAGTGGGGAAAGGAGGGGGCCGGAGGTGGGGCCTCCCTCTCCCCTTCTTCTCTGAAGCCTGGGGGAGGGGGGTGGCAGGAATGCAGAGAAGTCAACTCCAGTAGCTCGGTGCTCATTAACATACATTAACATAATACCACAGCCCCCTGCCCCCTCCCCTTTGAGAATCACCCGCCGGGAGGCGGCTGGGGAAGGGGGAATCCTGCCGGTGGCTCAGTCCCTCACCAGCTGTGCCTCTCTGATCCTTCCTTGCGCTGGGACTGGCACGATGCGGGTAAGCAGGTGTACTCGCGAGTTGCCACGTCAGCACCGGGCATCGGGGCCTCCCAGGGGCTAGGGCAGCCTGCGCCTGACTCTGGCCCCAGTCCTCCAGCCCTCCAGTCCGTGACTTCCTCAGCCTCAGCCTGAACCTCCCCAGTGACAGAGGGTAGGGCGTTTGCCTTGCACGTGACCAACCAGGGTTCGATCCCGGACACCATCTGGTTCCCCCAGCATCCCTCAAACTGACTTCTGAGCTCAGAGCCAGGAGTAAACCATGCATACTGCTGGGTGTAACCCCCAAACAGAAACAAAACAAAACACCTGAGCCTCCTCAGGCTCTGGGAATGCCTCAGTCCTTTTATGTTGGGGGTGGGATTGGGGGGGCGGTCACACCTGGCGATGCTCAGGGGTTACTCCTGCCTCTGCACTCAGGGATCACTCCTAACAGTGCTTGGTGATCATAGGAGATAGATGCATGCCGAGGATCACACAGGGGTGGGCTGGGTACAAGGCAAACCTGCTATGCTCCCGGGCCTTGCCTTAACATACCCAGCACTGCTGGAGGCCTTCCTGTCAGGTTTAAGACAGGAAAGGGGGCACATGTCATAGCTCCCTGCATGCAGGCACCCAGGGCTTCTTGAGCAGCACCGGGATGGCCTGGTGGTCTCTGGCACCCAGAGCCCGAGCAGCACTGCATCCTCAGGCCTACTATTGAACTGGCGGCCCAGTATTGCTGGGAGTGGGCCCCAAGTGCCCTGAGCCTGCCCCCAGAATCGCTTGGGGAACAAAAGGCCTGCCTGGAGAAGTTGCCCGGCTGTGCCCTGCATCCTGTCTCTCCTCTCTGCGCCTGCCAGCACCCCTTCTGGGAGGTGTTGCTCTTCCTTTGCCAGGACTTGGGACTGTTCCTTCCCTTACTCTCTCCCCCTCCCCCCATTTGCCAGTCACGCTTCCTCTAGGATCCCATCCTTCTCTAGGACTTGGGGTCCCCATGAGAGAGGATAGAAACGGGACGGCCGGTGAGAGCCTTCTGGGCCTGAGATGGCTGACCTAGGTTCTGGGGTGGACGGAAAGGAACCCCCACATCTTCAGAAAGCGGTTGGGTGGTGATTGCCTCCTGAACAAGCTCACAGAGGTCTGTGCCTGAGGCAGGGAGAAGAATGGGCAGGGGCTGTCCCCTTGGACACTAGTGTGACCCCCCCAGGGTTGCCGAGTGGCATGGACATGGAACCAACAGTGCTGTCTTAACACAGACGGCTCAAGGCCCTGCTGGGTACATGATGGGCCCGACACCCTCTGGGTGTCTAAAGCAGGGTGGTGGCCATTGATGAGGGGACAAGCAGCCCACAGCAGGAAGGAAGACCTTGGGACCTTTTAGTTTGGCTTGTTTGGGGGACCACACCCAGCAGTACTGAGGATGGTCACTCCCTTCAGTGGTGGGGGACGCCGGTGGGGGTGGAACCCAGCCTACAGCCAGTTCCAGCCTGAATTATCCCTCAGGAGCATTTTTCTCCCTTCCAGCTCTTTGGGACAAAAGGCAAGAATGGGGGGGTAGTACATCTGGACCCCAAAACTCCACCAGAAACTGCAGTGTTGTCCCTGCCCCTCCCCTTTCCCAGGGCCTGCAGGATATGGCTGGTCAGGCCAGAGGTTGGCCATGGGGTCTGGGGTCTCCCACATCTGGATGAGCAGACCTGCCTACAGGGAAAGTTTCTTTCTGGTTTTTTTTTTTTCTGTTTGTTTTTTGAACCACACCCACCGATGCTCAGGGGTTACTCCAGGCTCTGCACTCAGGAATCACTCCTGAAGGATTTGGGGAACCATATGGGATGCCAGGGATGGAACCCGGGTCAGCCACGTGCAAGGTAAGTGTCCTACCTGCTGTACCCCAACAGAGAAAGTTTTCTTCCAGGACCTGGCAGGCCCCCTGGAGCCTCAGGTTCCAGGGTTCTCTATGCTGTAGCTGAGCGTGGGGCCCCCTGGCAGCTAGAAGTGGCTGCTTGCTCCTCCCCACCCCCTCCCTCTTTGGGCTTGATTCTCAGCCCTTGTCTCTCCCCAGCTGTTTCTCCCACCCCCAGATGGGTTAAAAATACCAAAGCTGCCACCACACCAGGAGCCTCCTCGAATCTGAGTGGCATGGACCAGCCTCACGGCGGTCCCCCCTGGGTGGGACTCAGCCCCCTGCTCTGGGACCCACAGCCTTGGTCTGGAGCTGAGCCTGGGCCTCATTGCCTGAGGCTCATGGGCCTCACAGCTGTGCTGTTGGGGTGTGAGGAGGAAGGCAGGGGGATGGGGGCCTTCTCTGGTTGGGAGAGGTTTGGGGAGCCAGCACTAAATCCTTGGCACCCAGCACCCAGAGGCTGAGGGGTGGCTGGGCTCCAGGCCTGGACAGCTCCCGGCAATGGGAGAGTCCCAGGAGACAACACCATGGAGTCCCTCCAGTTGGGGTGCAGGACACCTGGGGATCCCCCCTGTTGCCTGCTGCTTGAAAATGCCTGGGAATTTCCCAACTGCCAGAGACAAGGACAATTGAGGGCCACCCCCACCAGCGCTGGGACAATGGAGCCTTATGCCCCACATTTGGGGCGGAGGGAGTAGAGCCAGGCAAGTGGGGGCCCAGCTACCTGCACCCAGTGAAGCCCCCGTAGCCTGGCTCCCCCTCATTCCCCAGGCGCCACCAGAGAACCCTGAACCCTGCCGCTGAGCTCCCACAGACACTGGGCGTGTCAGGGGACAATGCAACCCCTCAATGGCCCCTCTGTGCAAGGATCCCCCTGGGAGGGGAGGCACCATCTCCGGTGTCCCTTCCTGCCGGGTGGGCATCAGGGCCCCGGAGCTCCCGCCCCACCCGCGAATCTGGGGCTCAGCGGGCCCAGGCCTATGCGCGGAAGGAAGGAAGGCAGAGATCCTGGGCTGGGCACCGGATCCGGTCCTCCCCGAGCCGGCCCGCTGCCCGGCCCCGAGGGAGAGCAGGAAGGGCCCGCGGATCTGGGGCGGGGACGGAGGCTGCGGCGGTGATCTCCTTCCGACGGGGCGGCCGCGGCCTCTCATCTGCTGCCAGCGCGGGGACGGCAGGTGTGCGGGGGCGGAGCCCCGGTCCCCGGCTCCCTCCTCCTCACCCGACCGCGCGCCCTCCCCGCCTCCGCGGCGCCGACCCCGGCCCGGGCCGCTTTGTCCGGTCGCGCCCGCCGTCGCCCCACAAAGCTGCCTTTGTGCCCCGCGGCCTGGGCCGGACCCGCTGACGTCAGCCTCCGTGACCAGCGCGGCGGGGCCGAGCGAGGGCTGCGGCGCCCCCTGGCGGCCAGAGACGGAGGCGCCCGGCCCCGCCCCGTCCCGCCCCGCCGACTCCTTGTCCTGGGTTCTACACGTGCGCTGAGCACCGTGCGCGGGCCTGGGGCTCAGGCCCCGGCCGGCTGCGGGCACCCGAGCCCCCAGCTTCAATGTGTGTGCGCTCTCGCGCAAGGCCCGGGGAAGCCTCTGCATTCAGAGCCGTCCTTGTGCAACCAAGCCCAGGGCGCTCCTCACTTGAGGCCTTGCTCCAGGCCTGCCCGCCCCCGCTGAGCTCAGGTTTGCGGGATGTCTGGAACTCTAGAGACCCGTATGAGCGCGAGCTCTCTGCACGAAAATCTTTCTGAAGAACACCCCCTACTTTATGCTTGGTCAAGCCTATGGGGGCTGAATTCTGGACGGGGCTCTGGGAAGCATCCTGGACTAGGAGGGTAGTGTGTGTGTCGGGGGCGGGGCAGGAGAGGGGGGACATGTGTGCAAGAGGCTGTGGGCTGGGAAGAGAGGTCAAGTCTCCTCTGCACTGGCCTCCCCTGACGCCCCTCCTCTGTGTGGAGGAAGACCACCTGGCATCAGACTTCAGGTGCTGGGGAGGCCCAGGAACTACCAGGTAAGAGTGGTCTGGAACCAGAGAGACAATACAGCGGGTAGGGCACTTGCCTTATTTTGCACCTGACACAGGTTCGATCCCCAGCATCCAGTATGGTCCCTGAGCCCCGCCAGGAGTAATCCCTGAGCACCTCCAGGTGTGGCCCCCAAACAAAGGCTAGTCAAAGCAGATATACGGGGCACCGAGAGCAGGACTCGAGTGTCACTGGGAGAGCCTCACACATCACCCCAAACTTCTGTGCCCCCATGAGGATTAGGGGCACTCTGGCACTTCTAGACTTAGGTCTCTGCCCCTGGGGAAGAAGAAGGCGGAGATTTCTTTCTACATTTTATTATTTCAAACCAGATGGACAATTCCATAAAACGTGAAAAAAGCAAGGAAGTGTTCTACGCTGAAGGATCCGGACCTTGAGCGAGGGCGGGTGGGGCGGGGCCCCTCAGCAGGCAGCGGTGGTTCCTAGGTTAGCGCTAAGGAGCTACATTTAGGTTAATGGAGTCAGGGCCCGGGGGCCCACTGGGATGGGGACCCTCAGTGACATTGGCAGTTGTCTGGAACAGCCCTTGGAACCCGATTCTGTGGAGGGCGGGAAGGTTGTCACCCCACAGAGGGCAGCCAGCGAGGGGACGGGTGTAAACACGCAGACACACTCAAGGCACGGCATCACTGGAAGGAGCAGGGCACTGGTTAGATCCGAGCATTGAAATAGTTTGTCTAAAAATAGTTTGTCTTGGTCTGAGTCTGTTTCCCTTGGTGTGAGTTTCTTTTTTTCTTGGTCTGAGTCTTTTTTTTTCCTTTCCTTTTCTTTTTTTAAAAAGCCAGGTGAAAGAGCAAGTGACCTGTACGCGTGGTTTCTCAAGGTTCTTGTGCTTTTACCTTTGGGGCCTCCGCGCGGCTGGAAGGATGAGTGGGGAGGAGGCCCCTGTAAACATTTGGACTTGGGCTGGTCAGGGGCTGGTGTTAGGCAAAACCAGGGGGTGGGTCCCAGGCTGGAGAAGTGGGTGGCCCTGCAGACAGGCCTTGGGAGACTAGCTTACGTGTCCCTTTCCCATCGCCAAACACAACAATGGCAAACACCGGGATGGGACCGCAGTCATTCCCAGCACCCGGGATGAGGCGAGCTTCAGATAGGGGGACCTGTGGCAACCCCTCCCTGGGCCACTGCAGCTGAGAGAGGGGCAGGGGGACCAAGAACAGAGGAGGGGAGGGGAAAAGCGGCCAGGGCACAGGCGGGGAGCGTGGTCCTCTTGGTCCCATCTTCCTCAGGGGCTGGGGGAGCAGAGTCGGCGGTGGCCCTGCAGGGGGAGGGGGGAGAGGGATGAGTCAGGGTGTGGGTGGAGAGAATCTGGGGCATCTGTCCTCCAGCTGCCCTAGACAACCACCACGCTCTCCTGGGAGCTGTGACCCAGAGGCGGGTGCCAGGAGCTGGCTAAGTCAGGGCAGGGGTTGTTGGCCCTGGCAGAGTCCCCCCACCTCCCCAAGGATGATGGGAGAGCTTCAATCCATACCCCCCAGGTGGTAGGGGACTCATGGCCTCCTCAGGCCAATAGGTGGTGGGCAGGGGAGTGGAGGCGCAGAAAGGGAAGAGTGTGAGAAGAGAAGGGGTGAGTGGGAAGGGGAGGAGGGGGATATGGAGGAACACAGGGCCAGGGATGGGCTTTCTCCAAGGCAGGGCAGGATGGCCCAAGTGCGGACCCAGGGCCTGGCCTGGCACATGTACTGCCTGAGCAGAACTGAGCCTACCAGTGCTATCCTGCCATGCTGCCCTGAACCTGTGTCCCCAGAACCCCACCGTCCTCTAACCTAAATGGGTGCCGGAGCTCAACACCCACTGCCAGGCCCCACCCTGCTCCAGCCCGCACCCACTCTGGGCTCACCATCCTGCCAGGCCCCACCGCGCTCAGAAGAGGCCACAGTCCTTCAGGTTGTTCTTGATGATGACGTCAGTGACGGCGTCAAACACGAACTGCACGTTCTTGGTGTCGGTGGCGCACGTGAAGTGCGTGTAGATCTCCTTGGTGTCCTTGCGCTTGTTCAGGTCCTCAAACTTACTCTGGATGTAACTGGCTGCCTCCTCGTACTTGCTGGCCCCTGTGGGAGATAGAGAGTGAGGCTGCAGGGGACACGTGGGTCCCTGTGGGCAGCGAGTGCAGGCATGGCCAATCCAGTGGAGCAGGCCGGCAGCACCAGGAGGGACCCAGTCCCAGGGTTACCCGTCTGGCCAGCAGGGGGCGTCCGCGGGCCACTGGGTCATGACTATCTCCCCGAGGCCAGTGCCCCACCTGTGTACTCCGGGAAGCAGATGGTCAGGGGGCTGTGTGTGATCTTCTCCTCGAACAGGTCCTTCTTGTTGAGGAAGAGGATGATGGACGTGTCCGTGAACCACTTATTGTTGCAGATGCTGTCAAACAGCTTCATGCTCTCGTGCATTCGATTCTAGGCGTGGTGGGGGGGAAATAGCAGGACAGCCCGGTCAGCACCAGACAGTACCACCACCCCCGCCCCCGCTCCTGCCCATGGCCTCTTGGCCGCTCACCATCTCCTCGTCCTCAGCGAGCACCAGGTCGTAGGCGCTCAGAGCTACGCAGAAGATGATGGCGGTGACCCCCTCAAAGCAATGGATCCACTTCTTCCGCTCCGACCTCTGCCCGCCTACATCGAACATCCTGTGGACAAAGGGGCCCCTGAGCTCCAGAAACGGAGGTTTCCAGACAGAACCCCACCCTGCCCCACTGCACAGCCCACTGAGATCAGGCCACTTGGAGGGGTAGCGTCCTCCAAGGCTTGTGCAACACCAGCCTCGAGGGGGCTCGGCGAGGGGAGCCAAACCGTCCCCCCGCCTCCAGCCGCACTTGACGGGCGCTGCCTCCACCCGGACGTGTCCTCACTTGAAGTGGAGATCCTTGAAGGTGAAGTGTGTTTCCACGATGCCCGTGGTCTTCACGCGGGTCCGCAGCACGTCCTGCTGTGTGGGGATGTAGTCGCTCTGCGCAATTCGTTCCAGGTCATTCAGGTAGCTGGGAACAGAGTGGGGCAGGGCGTCATACGAGCCAGCAGGGGCCTCCTGACATGGGCCAAGGACAGCAGCACTAGGTCCCTTTCCCTCCTGTCCCCTCACTCCTCAGGCCAGGCCCTGCCTGCATTAGTCCTTGCTCAGGAGAGAAACCCTGACCTCTGAGGTCACAGCTGCAGTGGCGATGGGCGAGGGAGGGGGAACACGACATGGACTGCGATGCTAACAGGTCCAATTCCGGCTCCGCTGCAGAGCCCTCTGCATCCCTCAGGTCCCTCGGTGCCGGGCAGGGGCAGGATGGGTCGAGGCCTGCAGGCGCATTGGGCCCTCTGCCCAGCGCGTACTAAAATTCAGGCTCCTCAGAGGGAAGGCAGGGACACCTGCTGGCAGAAGTCCCAGGGGCTCCTCATTATCAGTTCCTGTAATCAGTATCTGGGTCACTCTGCCAGGTCCTGGGACCAGCCCTGCCCCTTCCTCAGTTTCCCTGCTGCCTTGGCACTGTGGGCAGGCCCCGAGCCACTGTCCAGTGCATTCTAGTTCATTCCTGGGGAGGGCTTCTGGGCCAGCCTTTGGCTCCCACCAGTAGTTGGGCCAGAGGGAAATGACCTCAGAGACACAGGGACAGAACAGAAAAACAGGAAGGGCCATGCGGGAGCGTGACGCATGTGCCGTGACCTGCAGACCGAGGCCCGCCCCTACGGCAGGCTCCACCGTGGGCTCCCCACGGCCCCTCCTCTTTCCCGGTGGTGGGGCTCATTGCTGCCCCACAGGAGTCTCGGGGCAATGGAAGGATCCCTGCCCCCGGGTCGGGGGGCTCTCCATCCCCTACCCTGGGTGATCTTATTGGAGTGACAGTCATGCAGGAGAGTGTGGCCTGTGTCTGTACACCAGCGAGCAGTGTTGGGCACACAGCAGAAGCCCCTCATGTGGGAATGGGAGGAGACTGGGCACGCCAGGCACTGAGGTAGCACCTGCTGGTAGGACTGACAAGCTCTGTGGGCCCACACTTCCCTGACCTCTGGAAGGGGCAGTGCTCAGGCCAGGCCTGGCGCTGCCCCTGGCTTTCCCCGGGGCGTTTGGCTGCAATGCCATAGCTCCTACACGGACTTGCTGCAAGGAGAGTGGGGAGGCTGTCCGTGCATCTGGGGTTCGGGAGCCAGGACTAGGCAAGACCCACATTCCTGGGCAGGCATGGGCTCGAGGGCTGAGGGGGCGGGCAGAGGAGGGTGCAGGCCCCCGGGCGGCCCCAGGCCTGTGGAGTTGCACACAGCTCTGTAGCTATCAGCATCACCCTCCGGCCTGGTCCTGTCACCCAGGGATGCTTAGCATTGCACTGCAGGCCTGGCACTTGCGGGCTATTTGGAGCTTAACCCAGAGGGCTGCGCAGCTCATGATTCTCCAGCTGCGTCGAGGCTCAGCCCACACACATCTGTGCCCACATCCACCACCTCACCCCCTGCTCAGCCAGTCACAGCCCTCTCTGCAACCCCAGCATCCGGAGTATGCTGTGCCCCTGCTTGGAACCCCATCCCCGTCCCCACCAGGCCCTGACCCCCTGCGAGTCGCCTGCCCAACTCATCACTGCTGCAGAGAATGACAGTGTCCAGGATGGCCTGCAGGGAAGGTGCTCTCTAGGCTGCCCGGCCCGGCCCGCCCAGCCCTCACAGCACTCACTAGGCGGCAGAGTCATTGAGCTGGTACTCCCGAGAGCGGCCAAAGCACGCCTGCACGCCGTGGTCAGCCCAGAGCCTCCGAATGACGCCGGACAGGTCCTCTGGGAGCAAGCCCTGCTCCTCGGCCGTGCACGACAGCGCAAACAGCTGTCTGGCATCGTCCTGGACACAGCAGAAGGGGGCGCCCATTAGATAGATCGACACGCACCCGTCGGGGAAAGGGCCCAGGCTGGGGGGGGCGGGTCACGTACCGCGCGGGAGGAGTCGGCAAAGTCAATCTGCAGATTGCCCATGGCTTTGACGATGGCCATGATGGACTGGATGGTGTTGCTGTAGACGACCGCCCGGTACTGCCGGCATTCCTCCTCGGAGTAGCCATCCTCGTGGATAATCCTAGTCACCAGGGGTTAAGGGTTAGGAGCCACAGAGTACAGAGGTCTTGCCCTACTGCTCGGGGATGCTGGTACCTGCAGAAACCTCCCAGAAGAGGCAGACAACTGGCCCGGCCCACGGAGACCCGAGGCACCGCTGGAAAGGGCCCAGCCTGGGCAGTGCAGGCCCATAGGAAGGGGATACAGAGGGTGGTGGTCCGGATTGGAGCTGTCTCGCCCCTGCAACACTTACTTCATCTGCTTGACAATGGTGCTCTTCCCCGACTCCCCGGCACCTGGAACAGAGGGTGCGAGCAGTCATGGGAAGGCTGGTCCAGGGAACCCTGGAGACCCAAGTCCCCTCCCCATGGCTTCCCAGTGGCAACACGGAGGTGGTCAGGGCAGCGGAGCCATGAAGGCTGGTGGGGTACCGCTGCCAGAGTGCCAAGCTGCCCATGGGGGCGCTTTCCAAGCCTTCGCATCCTGCACACACCACAGCCCATGTGGATCCCCACTGCCCTGGCTGGAGTCTTGCAGGCCGCCCTGCAGGAGGCAGCTTGTGAGTCCATGCACCGCCGTGGGCCAGCACAGCCCTCTCCTCGCTGCCATGATGAGGCAGGGCTGGAGCCGAGTCCTGCTCCACCCACAGGGCCATGCACAGGCCCTCTACTGTCACAGAAGCTTCTCTGGCCTGAGAGTCCCACCTGCCTTCCGCCTGGGCACCTCACATGCCCTTCTGTGACTGTCCTGACACCCCAAAAACAGGTACTGCTTCTGTTCTCACTTTAGGACTGGGGTCACTGGATACCGAAAATTCAAGGTCCATGATTCCAGCCAGGGTTCAGAAGGACAAGGGCTGGACAAGCAGCCCAGCGATGCCTGGGCTCCCAAGCTTGGCCAAGTGTGGTTCAGCCACGAGACGATGCTCTAAATGGTGCAGACAAGCACATTCTCAGGCCTGGAGGAGCAGCACCCAGCCTGGGAGCACCTACACTGCAGCATGTGGTCAGGAGTTCGAACCCCAGGTGCCCCACATGTGCCAAGCAAGGTGCTGGCAGCTGCCTGAGATTCCTGGCACTACCAGCCGTTTCCACCACAGCCCAATGTGTGAGGAACACAAACAGAGGCTCAGCCCCCGGTGAGCACCACAGCAATGGCTCACATCTCAGAGCTGACTGGGAGCCTGGGGAGCACATGTACCGGCCATGTGACCTGATGTGTGAGCCCCTGTGGGCAGCCACAGTCAGGCGTGTGCTGAGCCCCACCAGCACATCCACGATGAAGGGTGGGAGAGGGAATAAATACAAATAATTAGCAAGGGCCACATCCAGCAGTTCTTGAGGGCCACCCCCAGGTGGGGGGCGTGGGACTGAATGCTGGGCTCCTTTGTGTACATGCTCTGGCCTGAGCTCTCTCCTGGAACATTACTATTATTTATTTATTTGCTTTTGGGGTCACACCCGGCGATGTACAGGGGATACTCCTGGCTCTGCACTGAGGAATTACTCCTGGTGGTGCTCGGGGGACCATAGGGGATGCTGGGGATCGAACCTGGGTCGGCAGCGTGCAAGAAAAATGCCCTACCTGCTGTGCAATCGATCCAGCCCCTATTTATTTTTTTAAGGGCCAGGAATTGCTCAGGGATTAGGCCCTGCGTGCACATGACCCAAGTTCCACCCCTATCCCTGCACGCCTCCAGCACCACTGGGTCCAAACAGTGCTGCACTGTCCAGTCCAAGCATGGACCCATGGGCACACCTGACCAAGTATCACAGGGGAGTGACCCCAAAACCTTCTGGGTGCTATTTGAAAGACACCAAAAATATTAGAAGGGGAAAAAAAAAGCTAGGGCCGAAGAGATAGTACAGTGGGTAGGGTGCTTGCACTGCACATGGCCAACCCAAACAAACTGGCTTTGATCCTAAGCACTGCCAGGAGTGATCCCTGAGAGCAGAGCCAAGAGTAACCGCTGAGCATTGCGGGGTATGGCCCAAAACACAACAAGGGGGGAAAAAAAAGAGAGCTCAATACAAGAGAAAAGAAAAAAAAAAAAGCTGCAGATTCCCAGGATCAGGGAGGTATGGCTCAGGGCAGAGGTGTGAAGCCTGAGTTTGACCCCACACCACATGCTCTGCCCCTGGCACGCCAGGAGTCACCCAAGGCTTCCAGCAGTACTGGGAGTGATCCCTACGACAAAGCAGATTCCTTGGTTCCACCCCAGACAGAGGCAGATCTGCAGTCAGCCCCGCAAGCTCCATTTCCCGGTGTCCGTGAGACGGGACAGTGCACCCCCTCTCCCCTTTCCTGAGCGGCTCCTGGCCCCAGCTGCAGGGAGATGGGCCCCCAGGCCCAGCTTGTCCACAGCCTCAGCCCAGATGACCCAGTCACACCTGCACCAACTCTCAGCCGTCTCTCTGGGCTGGGCACCCCTGCTCTGGCCACTTACATGTCCCAAAACTCCGTCACCATGGCAGATCAGGGTGGGGGAGGGGCAGCTTTGAGCACTCTGGCCCCCACACCCTTCAGGGTCAGTCATGACCACCTCAGAGCTCTAAGGTTCACCAACACGAGCGGCAGGAATCAAGCTGTGGGCAGAGGCCACATGCTCTGCCCTCACTCCAGCCCCCACCTGAGAGCAAGGACAGAGGCCGCAGTCCACTCAGTCCCTGGAGGAACTCCAGCACATGCAGGGCACACCAGGGAGAGGCAGACCTGACCTGGCACCTCCCACACCCTGCAACCCACAGCTCCCTGGGAGATATACACATTTCCCCTGACGCATAGCTGTGGCCCTCAGAGGGGTGGGGCGGGCAGTCACTGGGCAGGCTGCGGAGGGCGGTGGTGAGCCAGGGGTTTAGAGCATCCCTGGCAGTGGGTTGTGGTCAAGTGGCAAGGGCCCCCACTGACACCGCCACCTCAGAGTGGGGTCATGAGGAGAGGGCCTTGAGCGACAGCTACTGAGACACATTCCTGGAGACGGCCGTAGTGCAGGGAAACAGAGTACTGGCCAGGCTCGCCCCCAGGCTGCTGTGTCCACAGACCTGTGGTGTCTGTCCTCCCAGGCCCCAGCTTCTGTCACAGAGGCTGAGGACGCAAAGGAGGGGCAGTGCTGGGGTTAAGGCACTTGCTTTACATGCAGCCAACCTGAGTTTGATCCTTGACACCACATTTGGTCCCCTGAGCTGTGCCAGGAGTGATCCCTGAGCAGAGTCAGGAGTAAGCCCGGAGCACTGCTGGGTATGGCCCCTCCAAAGAAACAAAACCCAGAAAGACCCAAATCAACAAGGATGTGTATTTGCTGGTGGATGAGGGAGCTGACTGGCATTCCGGCTGGGGGGCTGAAACTCAACAGATGGCTTTCCTGACCTGAGGTTTAGGAAAAGGGCCACGCCCTCTAGCATGACTCTGTGACCCCTGTCCACCTGAAGGGTCAATGTCTGTCCGGCTGGTCAATCACTTTCATTTTTTTTGTGGGGGAAGAGTTTGGGGCTACACTCAGTGATGCTCAGGGGTAACTCCTGGCTCTGCACTCAAGACTTATCTAATTATCCCTAGCAGGCTTGGGGGACCATATGGGATGCCGGTGATGGGACCCAGGTCGGCCGCATGCCAGGCAGGAGCTCTACCCTTGTACTATCACTTGGGTTCCACCCATCACTTTCTTGGTAGGTGGCGAAAGCGCCCTGGCAACCTTGCCCAGTCATGGAGATGGTGACACCGAGTCCCTCTGCATCTCACTTCCCCAGTGGGATGGCACCACATGCAGCAGACATGAGGTGGGCAGGCGATGGGGTGCCCCTCACTCTGGGCCATCTCTGCCCAGAAGGCCCCCTGCAGAAAGACTCCCACTGAATAGGTGGACAAATCAAGGACACAGACCCCATCCCTGCACTTGGAGCTGTCCCTCTGTCCTGCCAGCGGCTCTGACTCACGCAGGGAAGGTGTGAGGGGCGGCCAAGGGTGTGGTGCTAGTGGCCAGGCAAGAAGTCAGGGCATGCCGAGGGGCACCGAGAGCAGGGCAGGGGCCAGAGGTGGAGAGAGACCAGTACTGCACCTGCAGGAACGCGGTGGGGCCCGGGGGGGCTTGGCCTCCCTCTGCACCTCTGCAGACAGCCCCCTTTCAGCCAGGCTGCTTGGCTCGAGTTCACCACATTCGAGTGGCCCCCCCACCCCTGCACCTGGGCTTGGGATCAGTGCCGAGACGCTGAGATGGGGACCAGTGGCCCGATTCTCCTGCCCGCTGAGGCTGCCCTCTCCAGCTGAGGGAGACCAAAGAGGCCCACAGAGGCTCCCTGCGCTCACACCGCTTCCCACTGGGGAAGAGCCTCTATCACCTGTGGAGCAGCTGTGGGCTCCGGCAGGCGCTGGTGTGTCAGGGTGCGCCCCGGTGTTAGCAGGTGGCTGCTCAGCACCAAGACATCTGCTCCTGCTCCCAGGAGCTCAGCAATGCCCAGGAGGGGGGCAATAGGGCACCGCCTCCCTGAGCAGCCCCCCTCACTGCTGGCCGTCCCTCCTGGGCTCTCTATCCCAGGGACACGGGTTTCTGTAGGGCCTGTTTCTCCTCTGCCAAGGCGACTGAGCCTTGAGAAGCCCCAAGCACCCCAAACCTGGTGCAGACTCTGATCCTTCCTGAGCTCTCCAGGTGCCGCAGCCCTGCTGCCTGGCCCCCGCCTGGCCCCTCATCTGTGAAACAGGACACCCCCTTGTCTCCTCCAGGGAGGGGCTGCAGAGTCAACAGCAAGTTCTTCCTGCAGGGCAGGGCAGGGCAGGGCAGGGCTGAGCAAAGTCATTACTGTTCCTCTGGATGCCCTGGGGAATAGCCCCTGGCCCTCATTTCCTGCAGCCCACCATGCCCTTGAAACCTGCTGTACCCTTGAAGCCAGAGGCTGCAGGGGCGCGTGGAGATGGGCAGAGACCAGAGCTGGCTCTCGGCCCTGCTGGAACTTGGAGCCCGGGGTCCTGGGATGGAACAGCTCACTCTTCTGTGGGAGTTGAGCCCCAATACCCTTCCACACACCCAGTGCCCCACAATGCCCGGGCTGGTCTCCTGCCCACGAGCACCGCCACAGACGTTGCCGCCTGGGCGAAGATTCCAGAGCTGGTGGGCTCCCCCATACACGTGGGGCTGGGGAGAGCAGCCAGCTGACGTGGCGGGCCCAGCCTGCTGATGAGAAGCAGAGCCGTGGGGAGCCTGGGCCGACTTGGGCGGTAGCCCGGCTCAGACCCACGGCACCAGGCCCGCCCCGCCACTGATCCCGCCTGCTCTAGGGGGGTACTGGGGAGAAGGTGGGGATGA